TAAGTTTCTTCAACTCAGTGATTCTTTCACAGGGCTGTCTTTCTGTAAATAGCTCTTAGCAAAGAAGATTTCCACTCTAAATTTTCCAAGAAATTTTTATATAAGAGGATCAAGGTCAGCATTTAAGCCTCCTGCATTAAGTCTACAAAAGGCAGGGCCAGATGTGGTGGTGCACACCTGTAATCCCAGCACTGGGGAGGATGAGGCAGGAGGATCACTGTGAGTTTGAGGCCAGCCTGGGCTATATAGTGAGTTCAAGGCCAACCTTCATTCTTGAAGAACCTTCATTTTTCATTCTTGAAGAATTATAAAGTGATTTTATAGTGATTATATCCTGTGTCCAAAAACCGACAAAACAAAAGAAATCCCTGGTGGTTCACCGTCCCCCAGAGAAAGGAGAACAGACCTCCAGGGTGCCCATAGACCATCCCAAGGACAAGGGTGGAGGTGGGGGGGTGGGAAGGGGGAAGGTGAGAGGAAACAGGGCACCAAAGGAACCTATTATTTCAAGTGTAGGTGTTGGGTCTGCCTAGGCATCAAGGGGAGAAGAGATGGAGTTACCATGGCAAGGGTGTGGCAGGAGCCCAAGGTTGGAGCAACCACCAGAGCTCAGACCCCAGCTCTCTTCCTTGTCTGATTTTGTGGTCTTAGGCAAGTAACTGAATATTTCTGAGCCTCTCTTTTTTTCAATCTATAAAAGGAAGAGACTACATTTTCCTTTTTAAAAAAATGTGTTTCATTAGTGCCTATTAATTTTATAAAATATTGGCTTTCAATGGATATTTTCAAATATGTACATAATGTAGTTTAATCATATCCACCCTACCAATTACCTTCTCTCATTGAACTCTCTCCCTACCTTATTCTCTTCCTTTCGTCTAATAATAGTCAAGGAAATGAAAATTCTTCCTCATAGGGAATTGAATACAGGGCCGGGGATTTAGCTCAGTGGTTCTGTCGCCTGCCTTGCAAATGCAAGGACCCAAGTTTGACACCACACCACCGTACCAATAAAGAGAGAGAGAGAGAGAAAATTGAATGCCTCTGCCCCACCCCACTAGTTCTTATGTTGAAACTCCAACCCCCAATGTGATGGTATTTTCCAGGCAATTGGGTTAAGATAAGGTCATGAGGGTAGAGCCCCCTGGTTGGAATTCATACCCTGATAACAAGACCAAGACACATGAAATCTCTGTCTCATTCTGTGTCTGTGCACGCACATGCTCATACATTTGCACGCCAAGCAAAGGCCATGTGAGGCCATTAGCAGTAAGAGGTCCTCCCGAGAGCCACCCCATGCTACACCCTGATCCTGGCCTTGCAGAAGCCTCCAGAGCCCTAAGCAGCAAAGTCATGGTGTTTTGTCATGGCAGCCCAAGTGCACAGGACAGAGGGTCCGCAGTGACTTGTGTAGTTAAGAGCAGCAGCCCACGAGAGCCCAGGGCCACCCTGTGGGCAGCTGTCTCAGTGTGTGGAGCCACAGGTGCTGGCCAGGGAGCGGGTACAGGGCAGAGCTGGGAAGCTTCATGCCTTGCACATCCAGCTCATCCCGTGTGCCTGGGGCGGAAAGGCAAACACGAGCCACCTGCTGTTACCTGGACTCACTAGGGGTGTTGGCACGGGGAGCCTGAAAGGAGCTCTGGAGGGCAGTCCCAGAAACCCCTGGAAGAAAGAGTGCAGATGAGAATTCTGGAAGTCATACAAGTGACTTAAGTCAGCGCATGGCTCAGAGTAAGTGCAGGATAAAGGGCTGGAGTTAGTGCTATCACTGCTTTCCCCATCCATTCACTGGGATGCTGCCACAGGGTCCCACCGTGGGCCACACTGTATCCTTGTCTCTTGGGTCAAATATTCGCTTTTGTGGTCTGACCCCAGCCGAATCTCTGTTTCTATTGACAATGTTCTGTTTAGAGAGAGATGTTTTCTATGTTTCCTCCAAACTAACCTACAGCCAAATTTTTGAAATGGTAGCCTTTAATAAGTGTGTAATGATCTCGGGAGTTGCCAAAGTCGTTTTTGCTTTTTACAGTTACCACCTCCTCACTTCTCATTTAAAACAACTTTATTTTCATTATAAAAGGGCTATTTATAAAACTATGCGTGTATCATACACACACATATATATAGCTATATATGTATTAGTTTCTTTTTGTCGCAATAACAAAATATCTGTACTTTTTGAAGTATTTTAGAAAGCACAGAGATTTATGTAGCTCACTGTTCTGGTGGCACAGAAACTAAGGTTGTGGCACTGGCATCGGCGTGGCTCTGGCAGGGACCACATGGTAGTTGGCCTTGCAGTGGTGGCATGTGTGTGAGGGGCCAGATCCCATGGCAGGCAGCATGCTGGAGGTGAGGAAGGGCCAGCCCACTCTCTTCCCTTTTTTTCTGGTGCTGGTGTAAGCTAAAGGTCTACCACAAACTGCAGCCCAGCCCTGGGCCCACTGTTTTATAACAGCCCTCTATCAAAAACTAACTCAGAATCCTGCAAAAACTGCCTGAATCCCTTCCTGATGTCCGAAGCAATTCCAGCTAGGCCTGACATTTAAGGACCCTACCACCTCTCAACATTGCCAGCCAGGGACTGTTTCCAACCCACGGGCCTCTGGGGAACTAAGCTACATTCAACCCACAGAAATATATCATATAAATTTATAAGTATCTAGGTATAATGTAAGACTATATTATTTTTCTCATTGAGTTTATTGGTACATTTTAGGTATACAGTGCAGTTACATTCATCATTGGGACCTTGTACCTTTACATGACAGGTCTTGGTTCTCATTTTTCCCCTTACCCCTGCCCCCACTTCACCCTTCCACCCTCCCCTATTTACAAAGACTTTGCTTTTGTTTTTTCTTTTTCTCATATTTTTTCTTTTCCCTTATTTCCTTTCCCCTACCCTTCCCACTTCCCCTATTCCTTTAGCCCTTTTCTTCCTATTTCACATTCAGTTATACAATTTGGATCTTATTTACACTTTCAGTTTTCCACACTAGAGAAACTATTTGGTATTTACACGTGTCTTATTTATTTCACTTAAGAGTATGGCCTCAATGTGCATCCATTTTCCTCAGAATGGCTCTTAATTTCTCATTCTTTATGGCTGAGTAGTCTTCCATTTCATAGAAAAAACCACATCTTCTTTATTCAGTTTCCAACTGATGGGTAATTGAGCTGTTTCCAAGTTTTAGCTATTACAAACTGTGCTGCTATAAACATGGGTACACATATATCGCTGTGGTATGCTTTTTAAACTTATTTTGGAAAGATGCCCAGCAGAGGGATAGCTGGGTCAAATGGAAACTCTAATCCTAGCTCTTTGAGGTGTCTCCATATTGATTTCCATAGTGGTTGTACCAGTCTGCACTCCCAGCAGCAATGGAGAAGGGTTCCTTTCTCCCCACAATAAAACTATATTATTAAAATCTGTAAAGAGCTGGGCACAGGGGCAGCTGCCTGTAGCCCCAGTTACTTGGGAGCCTAAGGCAGCAGAATTATTTGTGCCTAGGCAACATTAATGAGAACCTTCCTCAAAAAAAAAAAAAAAAAAAAAAAAAAAAAAAAGTAAAAGAAAAATACCAGTCTAATCAATTCCTACTCACAATTGTCCACTTTTGAGTATATTTTTCCTAGATTTTTATTAATTCTGTATCTTCAATTGTAATTATAGCACACATATATCATTTCCTTCCTTTTTTCCTTGCCTAAGATGTAATCATAATCATGTTTTTGCATGTTATTACTTATCACAGAATATGTTTCGGTCTCCATTTTACTCATTTAATTGATGATATATTTGACTAGGGAGACTATTTGAGCCCTGGTATTAGCATTTTCTGCATTTTTCTGGTACATGTTTAGAATCTGAGGAGCTGCGTGGCTTTGCCTGTATAGAGAGGTTGTCAGGATGTTGCTGGCTATGGCACGGAGGCCTCATCAAGTGGTCTTCACCACCCAGTGCATTGACTGTGGTCTGGCCTGGGCCCTCACCCAGGTGTCCTTAAAAGCTGAAATTTTGTCAATTAGCGATGACAATAAGAATGGCACTGGCGCTTCTTAGAGGTGAGTTCACGTTATCCCACCTTGCACCATTGAAGCATGAAATCAGAATGGCAGTCTTTCAACGGACACTGGCAAATAGCACCAAAAAGTAGAGGTTCAGGAAGCCATTAGTGTGGCCATCCACAGTGGACATGGTGCTTTAAGGTAAAGTAAACAGTAATGGTGACATGCACTGGTTAGCGGGCAGGTGCTGTGTGTCAGGAGGTAGGCCCTTCAGGAGGTGTCATTTGCGTCCCTATTTGACAGATGAGGAAGCTACAGCTCACTGAAGTGAGTGCTCCAAAGTTATTTGGCTGGTAAATGGTGGAGCTGTAGTTTCTCTCTAATACAAACACCTGATCTTAAACACAGCTCTGTCGTTCATTTTTCTCATAGATTAGTGACTGGCTCTGTTGGGACTGTCTCATGTTGCTTGCCCTCACTCTGCCCCTACCCACCCTCAGGATGGTATCTGTGGCAGGCCCTTGTTAGGAACAGAGCCTTTGTCAAGGACCTTGTTTTTCTTACACTTATGAGGAGAAGAGCTTTGGCCTTTTCCTTAAATTTCGCTTTGGATCCAAATATGCTTTTGTAACAAGGGTCACATTTTGTTAACTTTCTCTTGAGCTGCTCAGGAAGGACCAACGGAGGCAGAGAGCTGATGGGGCTGCAATTCAGGCTGTGGCCAGCTCAGACATGAAGGCCATTTCCTGTTTGCCCTTCTCCCTTTTTCTGCTTTGTTCTGTGAGGCGTCTGGAGGCGGTGTTCATCATCCAGAGAGAGCTAGCTGCTGTGCCATGGAGGTGGGTGGGAACAGGTGAAATCTCTGGTTTCTGATGTCTGCACCCTACGTGGAAAAGCTTTCTTTCCTCTTAGTGGTTTTCAGTGTGTGCCAAAGCGAATCAATTTCAGACAGGATTTCTGTTCTAAACAAGTCTTTTGTAATTGCCTTCTAGAAAGTGTTGGAGTGGAACAACTGGACGGGAGCAAGCGCTGCACTGTCAGGTGTTGTCTGGTTTGCAGTCCTGCTGGTAAAGTTTAACCTGAAGCCTCTTTGCCTGCAAACTCACAGTATGAAAGATATGGGCTTCAACCTGTCTTTCCACTTTTCCTACAAGTTCCGCCTGCTGCTACTTTTTACCTTGTGCCTCACTCTGGTTGGGTGGGCCACCAGTAACTACTTCATGGGTGCTATTCAAGAGATTCCCAAAGCAAAGGACTTCGTAGCTGGTTCCAAGAAGGCTGTAGCTTTGGGGAAAGAGGAAATGCTCACCAGTGAAGCATCCAGGAAAAAAGCAGAGCTTGACAATTGTCCTTCAGTGTCTCCAAACCTCAGTAAGTATTTTTTTCTTTTTTTTTAATCTACTAAAAATACTATGTAAACCTTTTATTTAACACAGGTACCAATCTGAAGCGTACATACCTGGGTAACCAGCATGTAAATCAACAAAGAGAATCTTTCTAGAATCCCCCAAATCCCCGTGCTTCTTTCAGTCATTACCCTGGCTTCGTGACTGTACCGCCGATCAACAGATTCATTCCTGTTTTAGGTGATACTGGGGATTGGACCCAACTCCTCTGCACTCAGCTATATCCTCAGCCCTTTTTCACTTTAAAATTTGAGACAGGGTCTTGCTAAGTCACAAAGTTGCCCAGGCTGGGCTCGAGCTGGAGCTCCCCCTGCCTCAGCCTGGGATTATAGGCATGTGCCACCACGTCCATCTACGTTCTTCCTGCTCTTAACCTTACAAACTGGAAGCAAACATTCTGTACCTCTGTGTTTGGCTTCTGCTGTTAAACACGATTCTTGTTATATCTCTTCAATGTGGTTTTACTTTGTTCAGTCTTGTTGAAGTATGCTCTACCATTATGTAAATATACCTACTTTTATTATCCAGTCGCTAGAATACCAGCAGCATACAATAGGGCCCATTGATTTAGGCCTGTGGCTCTGTTTCATGTGTCTCTATCCTCCTAGGACCAGTGGGCTTGCTTTCTCATGGCTTGGCAAGTGGAGAAATGCAAGCACACTCAGGCTGCTAGCATCTTTTTGCCCAAAAATATGGCATCAGAGGCAGTATCTTAAGTTTTCTTTGGTGTTTGTTTCTTTTCTTTTTTTTTGTGGGGGGGTTTGAGACAGGGTCTCACTATGTAGTTGAGACTGATCTGGAACTCACTATGTAGCCCAGGCTGGTTTCGAACTCACAGTGATTCTCCTGCCTCAGCGTCCTGAGTGCTGGGATTCCACACGTGCACCATCATGCCCGGCTGTCCCATATGTTTTGATTACCCTCTGACGTCTTTCCTCTCAGCTTTAATTCACAGAGAATTAGTTTTAGTGGACACAATACTGTTGGGAGGAAAAGACCCTACTCTGTGATATTTCTTGTGTATCTTCCTTCTCCAGAATGTCAGAGTGATGGTACTTTTCCATACCCTCTTTGAGCCCAATTTATACTGACTCCTCTTTCCAGAATGCCTTTCCTCAATCCGTGTCTGGCTGGTGGATTCATGCTTTGTCTTCAGAAATGTAGCTAAGATCTCTTCCAGGGGTTTCTGGGACTGCCCTCCAGAGCTCCTTTCAGGCTCCCCGTGCCAACACCCCTAGTGAGTCCAGGTAACAGCAGGTGGCTCGTGTTTGCCTTTCCGCCCCAGGCACACGGGATGAGCCGGATGTGCAAGGCATGAAGCTTCCCAGCTCTGCCCTGTACCCACTCCCTGGCCAGCACCTGTGGCTCCACACACTGAGACAGCTGCCCACAGGGTGGCCCTGGGCTCTCGTGGGCTGCTGCTCTTAACTACACAAGTCACTGCGGACCCTCTGTCCTGTGCACTTGGGCTGCCATGACAAAACACCATGACTTTGCTGCTTAGGGCTCTGGAGGCTTCTGCAAGGCCAGGATCAGGGTGTAGCATGGGGTGGCTCTCGGGAGGACCTCTTACTGCTAATGGCCTCACATGGCCTTTGCTTGGCGTGCAAATGTATGAGCATGTGCGTGCACAGACACAGAATGAGACAGAGATTTCATGTGTCTTGGTCTTGTTATCAGGGTATGAATTCCAACCAGGGGGCTCTACCCTCATGACCTTATCTTAACCCAATTGCCTGGAAAATACCATCACATTGGGGGTTGGAGGTTCAACGTATGAACTGAGGGGGGCACAGGCCTTCAGTTCATGCGTCTTCTTTCCCAAATGAATCACAATCTCATAGTGGATTCACCTTGGCATGCTACTTCCCTCTAGTCAGTCATGAAAAAGCCAAAGCATTATTCTTGAGTGTATATCCCACTCACAAATTACACAAGTCAAGATATGAAAATGTGCCATTTTGTGTAAACTGATTACATGATCCCCCTTGCTCAAAATGTTCACAATATCTTTAAGCAGTAAATTCTTCCATAAAGACTAGATGGAGCTCGATATGGTGGCACATGCCTGGAATCCCAGCATCCTGGGAGGCTGAGACAGGAGGATCACAAATTTGTGTCCAGGATGGGCAAATTAGTGACTCAGCAAGGGCTCCTCTCCAAGAAATGTGTGGTGAGGGACTGGGGATGTAGTTTAGTGTGAATGCCCTGGGTTCAATCCCCAGCTATCCCTCCCCCCAAAGAAAATGAATGGATGGTTGGTGATAATTATGAGTCCACTCTGAATCAAGAGTATGACATAAATGGTGGTGGCTTAAAGTCAGACACTGGCAATGTGGTGAAGTTAATGATGGGTTTTATTAACTGGCTACACAGCGAACCATCTTATAGGCCACTCCTCATCCCTTGGTCTCTCCATAGCTAGGCAGCAGCTCCTGCAGCATTGCTTTCGTGTAATTCCATTTCATATTGTTTGTCCTCAAGGTTTGGCTACTGGCTTTGGGTCTTACACACAGACTTTCAGGAAGGCTCTGGTGGGCTGGCTATTCTCATGGATGGCTGCACTTGGTTACTGACTCTTGGTGCCATTGGGTGCTGGAGCCTGGTTTAACGATGGCCGAGGTAGGAATTGTCACAGTGAGCAAGGAATGGTTACTTATGTGTAGGAAGGCCTGTGACTGCTTTGCCTGGAAGGGGAATAGCACAACTTCCAAGCAGCTTGAGGTTTTTACAGTCTGACCAGTATATGTGGAGATAAATAAATAAAAAATAAAAAGCATGTGTGGGAGGCAACGCTCAGTTCCCTAATAGAACTCTCTGCCTCCTCGCTTATCAGTCAGCATCCTATTCATTTGCACCAAAAGAGGAAAAGATGAGGGCCAATTGCTTCAGCCCAGTATTGAAGCCTTGCACAGGATTGGGTTGCATGATGGCCTTGAGCTTCATCTGATCAGGCTGCTTCCAGACTCACTAAGCAAATGCTCTCCCCGGGAGTGTCTGTCACGCTGACGCAATGGGAGACTTACTGCCTTGCTGCATACACCTGCCCATATGGTATTAGAGATGGGGCTGGCTTCTACTTCTACTTCCGTCTCGGGCTTTTTGTCTTCAAGTCCTTGTTTAGGTGCTTGATTCCATGAATGCTCTTGACTTTTCAGAGATCATACCTGCTTCTGGATTTTTTTTTTTTTTGGTACCGGGAATCGAACTTGGGTCTTTGTGCTAGCAAAGCAGGCGGTGGAACCACCGAGCTAAATCCCCAGCTCTTCTGGAATGTTGAGAAGAAAATGAGGGTAGAGCAAATTTGAGCAGTGTCTTGGTCTAGGGTTGATCTCTGTTGGACACCAGGGCCACCGGGACATCTATATTTCCTGGTCTTAGAGCCAGAGTTGATTACCCAACCACAAGGAAGTGCTTTTACATACCAGTTTAATGCTTTTGTCACAATAATCTTTGTCACATGAATTCTGTGGCCAAAGGACAATATGTGACCAAATGAGACTTTAATAGAAGTAAGAGCTGACCCTCCTCGAGTGCTCAACACCACCTGTATTAGTTCATGTAGGCCTCTCAGTGCTAAATGTAATATTTCCTCTTATAGAGGAACTGCAATAGTTCCTCTTTTATGACCTGTTTATTTCAGGGGGCCGGAGTAAGCTCATTTTCAAACCCGACCTCAAGCTGGAGGAAGTAGAGGCAGAAAATCCCAAGGTCGACAGAGGCCGGTATCACCCTGAGGAATGTAAGGCTTTGCAGCGGGTCGCCATCCTCATCCCTCACCGGAACAGAGAGAAACACCTGATGTACCTGCTAGAATACCTGCACCCCTTCCTGCAGAGGCAACAGCTGGACTATGGCATTTACATCATCCACCAGGTGAGTTCAGAACAGCCCTGTGCGCCCTGTAACTGGCTCCTCCCTCTGAGGGGCCGGGTCACGTGATCCCCTGTCTATCTTGTGTAAAAAGTACCATAACCTGTCAAGCAAGAGGAAGTTCTGTTAACCTTACCTGTCCTTGGAAGGAACAGAGGAAATTCTTGTTGCAGAGGATAGAGTCATGGGACCGAGTTCAGGGAAATGTTACAACCCTACAATGTGCCTCGTGAAGAAGCCTGGGTTTGAAGTCCTTCCGTGTTAGCCAACGCTGCCCTAAGATAGCCCCTGAGATCTACTGGCCCCTCTTGATGATTCCTTCTGCACTTGCTGTTTGCTACTGAATGAGCTGTTGGACTTGATTCTCATTACCGATTGTAGCTGTTTAGTGGAGATCTAGACAAGACTTGGCAGGGTGCTTAGTGTTAGCAGCCATTGGGTTCTGTGACTCTTCACATTTCTGCCTTTAACTTTGCTGCTATGGATTACATCCGACAGGGTACGTTGAATTATTATATTATTTTTTTGATACTGGGATTGAACTTGGGACTTTGCACTTGTGAAGCAGGCGGCGGCACCACTGAGCGAAAGCCCCAGCCCTATGTCAAATTTTCACCTTCTTCATTTACGTTATTTGGCTTCCAGAAGCTCCAGGTGACTGTAGGCTGCTTTTGGACAGTTCAGTTCTAGGGTCTGTGGAGTGGGTGATTACAGATGACTCTATTTGTTATTAAAGTTTATTAAAAGGAAAATAAGACATCCACTTAAAACATCCGTGTCTAAGCTTTGCAGATTCACTCTGGACCATCCAAATAATGTACCCTCCAATTGTTACAAATTCGAAGAGTGCAAACAGAATCAGTAACTACTTACCACTGGTTGTAGATGGTAATTAATATCTGTTTAGGAAAGCTTTCGATGACTCAGAAGATTACTTCTACATGTATACTTGGTGACAAACTGGGGCTCTTGAAAATCGGTGTGCTTATTTAATATACCTTTGCTCATTTCCTGAGACAAAACTTTATAATTATTTTGTTTTATAATTATTTCTAACATTGTTGGTCACAGGCATGATTTATTTGGTTCTGGGTTCTTACGTAAGTTGGAAACCTCCAAGCTATAGAACCACTTTTATGAATGGAAGCATACATACACTGCTTTGTGTATTTCTTTTCAGGAAAACACTGGTTATTTCTGAGACCTGCTTGTATGTTCTTATGAGGAACTATTTATTACATTGGAATTTATTCTTAGGGAAGTTGATCCAGCTAGCCATGAAAAAAAAATGAATACTGTAAAATCTTTTGCACACTGTAGCTTTGGTCATATTACAAGTCAAATTTTGTCCTTTTCCTACCTAGGGACAAAGCTCCATTCACAAGGCCACTGTGAGGATTAGCTTCCACCATTAGTGTTTTAACAGAATTTTTGTACGGTGATTTCCAAGAAACTTTGAAGTAGCTATTAGCAATAATCTTCTTCTTTTAAAGGCATGATTCCTTGGTCCTTTCTGACAAACTATAAATTAGTTCTCTTTGAAACTCAGTGTCAGTTTGTTGTAGAGGGTGAGGTGGGGATCAGATGAGAGCTAACAGTGAAACCGTCATACTAATTGATGCAACTGGTATGAATGAGAGGTTTGGGAGTTTTAGGCAGAATAAGTAAAGGTACCTTTCAAAACTTTGAGTTTTTAAATAACTTTATTGTGGTAAGAACACTTAACATGAGATCTAGTTTAATGCAATTTAAGTGTATAATACATTATTGTTGATTGTTTGAGTTAATTTTTTTTTTTTTTTTTGGTATTGGGGATTGAACGCAGAACATCATGCTGAGCTACGTTCCCAGCCCTTTTCTTTTCTGTTTTTTGAGATGGACTCTCAGAAGATCATTAAATTAATGAGGCTGGGCTTGACTTTGTAATGCTCCTACCTCAGTCTCCCAAAGTGCTGGGATTACAAGCATGTACCACCTCACCCTGCTAAGAATTTTTAATTGTGGTAAAACACATATAACATAAAGTTTATCATCTCAGCAAGTTCTTATTTTTAAGAATTTGTACTATCTTTAGCTATATCTAAGTGTTAAGAATATTCGCTATGGTGCAGCCAATCTTCAGAATTTTTTTTCTTGCTCTTCTGAAATTCTATACCATTAAACAATAACTCTCAAAAGAATGTTTTTTTGTTGTTGTTTGTTTGTTTGTTTGTTTTTTTTGGTACTGGGGATGGAACTTGGGACCTTGCTCTTGCGAGGCAGGTGGTAGTACCATTGAGCTAAATCCCCAGCCCTCAAAAGAATGTTTCAAAGATACAGAATGCAAGTATGTAAGAAAGATAAAGAAAGAAAGGTCTCTTATCATCGTCCTGTTTCTTCTGTCAGATCTTAAGCGCATTAAGAGTAATAGCAACTGCTTAGTTGGGGCTGAACAGTGGGAATGCTTATCACAGTAACTCTTCCTGGTTTAATTTCCATTATTTACAGGCTGGAGCTAAAAAGTTTAATAGAGCCAAACTCCTGAATGTGGGCTATCTCGAAGCTCTCAAGGAGGAGAACTGGGACTGCTTTGTATTCCACGACGTGGACCTGGTGCCCGAGAATGACTTCAACCTTTACCTGTGTGAGGATCAGCCCAAGCACCTGGTGGTTGGCAGGAACAGTACTGGGTACAGGTATGGTGGCTCGGACACTTGCCCAGTGGTGACCAAGGAGCATGGTGTCCACATTATCATAGGAAAGCGAGAAGTAGGAAAAAGTGCACCATTATTTTCTTAAAATGAAAAATAGAAATGAAAAAAGTAACAAGAAAGAAAAATTCTATAACAACCTTGACAGAGGATCACAGACAGAAAAGAATACAAGAGAGGATATAATCCACATTGCAAATGACGGCCAGCTCACCCTGTGGTGCTCCCGTGGAGGGACTTTAGCAAGCTTTCCCACATGAGTACAACCTGCCTGACATATTTGTGTGCCCCTGACTTACTGGGGACCCCTGAAATGTTACTGGAGACTTCTATGGTAGGCTGCACTCTCCTGCTCAGTGTATGATACTAGCCTAGGAAAAAACCAAAACAAAACAAAGATGGGAAGAACTAAGAGAGACAGAAAACAGGGTGCCAGGACAACCAATGCTGGTGTAACCGAAAAAGGCACTGGCCGGTCCAAGCTACTGATTCTTGTAGGTAATTGGGTGGGGTAAAGTGAACTATATGCAAGCGTGAAACTACATGTGAGGATGCATTTGGGCAGTTTCTTTGGACATTAATGTAAGCGAGGCTCATAAAGGAAAAGGACAAAGCATTCTCAAATTAGGAACAGAATAGACAAAATATATGGTTATAATTAGAACATTTGTCTTTCTAGTTACAAAAGTTTTAGTTGTGGGAATGCAATTTGGGCACGAGTTACTCTGACCTCAGTACGAAGGCTTTGGTTGGACTCACTTCTCAAATCAAGCCAATTGTGCAGTTAATTCACAGCTTACACTGCTTACAGCCTGCTTTGAGCTTAATCAGTACTGTAGTTTCCTGCACGACTTCTTCTCTAGCAGGCAGTAAGATGATGTCTCTTACGCTAACTTTCAGATATAGCGCCTCTTTCTTTCCAGACTGCAGCTTCTTTCCAGAGTTCCCAGGAGAAGAAGAGGGGTGTAGCTGTCTGCTGAAATGTCTGTTTAGGAGTGAGGACACCCAGGACAAGTTCTTTTTCTCAGAGCCACCACAGGAAGTGCTAGGTACCACGATCTCTATATGTTTCCCTACCTCTGTGCGGAGGAGAGGATTGACTTCTTTTCAACCTTATCTTATAGCAGCTCCTATTTTAGCACAATGGAGAGGAGATAGTGGCCAAGAAAATGTCCCTACAAATGAAACTGTATTTGCATGTGTGTGCACAGGTGCCTGCCAGCTTCTCCCAAGTCCTGCCACACACTGGTAATGGTGATGCTTACCAGGCTTGGCACCACATGACCAGTGTGGGCAGGCAGAGTGCTTGCCCTGGTGAGTGCTGGCATGAGGAGACAGGGAGCTACAGTGGAGTTACAGTCACATTGTACCTCTGCAAACTTAACTGTAAACACCAGTAAGGTGGGAGGGAGAAGGACAGATGCAGAGACAGAGATGGTGTATGGGAGAATTTGAGGGCGATCCATAAGCCTGCACTAATATAAGGGCAACTCCACCAGTATGTATTCTCAGTGAGTGTGAAATGAAAACTGACAGTTCTCTTCGTTCCTCATTTGGTCTTGGCTTCTTACAGTGGGTAGATCGCTTACTTTGAATTATTTAAGAGAATTCTGGAGTGCCACTGCCTGTGACTTTTGCCGTGGGTACTGATTTGAAAACCATTCCCTGTATAAACAGCGGAGTAGAAATAAACACAGTACCCAGAAAGAGCTGCAGTGGGTGAGAGCACAGTTTCTAAGAGCAGCCAGGGGAGTGTTGAAAGCTGTTCCTAGGGAAGGTGACCCCTTAATCTGGTGAAGTCAGTGGGAACTTCCCAGAAGAGTTCCAGACATGTCAGAGACACAGCCCTGTGCTGGTTCATTAGTATCCCAGAGCAAATGTCTGGGAGAAGCAACTGACGAGGTTGTTTTCTTTTACCATGAGACATCAGAAGGTCTTTGTTTCTCTTGGGTAACTTACAGGTTTTCTTAAAGTGAGTCAGGTAATTGAATGTGTGTCATTTTCTGATCTATATGCGAGAAGCTCTGAGCCAAACCATGGTCCTCTCTAAAAACTGAAAAGAAATGTTATTAGCAGGTCAGAGTGCTAATACATTTTCTACCTTCATCTTCTATTCTGATTTAAAACTTTCCCTGGTTCTTCTTTGCCACTTATATGAGTCGGGTTTCTAGTATGTATCATGTAAACTGCCCCGGCTTGTGCGGCTGGGGAGAGGGATGGAAAGTAATGTCAGAGGTGCCCTCTTCCCTTTCTACTTAATCTTTGCCACAGCAGGCAAAGTCTTGCCCATGGCTGTCAAGTTTGGGTGCAGGCAGCTAAATGTCCCCTGCCAGGGAGTGACCCCGCACCACCGCCAAGGTCCCAGGCCTTACCTTCACAGCAGCCAACAGGTATGAGTGCAGGAAATGTTTTCAGTTACCATATGTGCAGAGAAAAGAAGTTAAAGTAACATGCCACGTGTGTCCAGGGCCTGACCGAACCAGAAATCAATCTTGATTATTATCGATTGTAGGCGGTAAAGCTCTGGAGAGGCCTGTATAGATTTTTCTTAAGGTCCTTTGGCACCACCTGCTTTTGACAAGGATTCTACTGTTATTTTATGACTATACTTCACCCTGGGATTGATAGGCCTTTAAAAATACATAAGCCTTATCCAGGGCCAATTAAATATTTATGCCTTTCCAGGTAGGAGCAAAACCCAAGAGCAAAGATGGTCAATAAACATGGAGACAGCTGCCACGTCCCAGGCAACTGGGAAAGCACGAGTTCCTTAACTGTTAAGTCCCCAGCCTTGTCTCCTGCTCTTCCCCACTCCAGAAAAGCTGGTCTCCAGGGATCTTCACACAGCCTGAACTTCTCTCTCCTGTGCCTTTTATTACCAGTGTCTTGGGCACAACAGAATCCCTGCCTTTTTTTTTTTTTTTTTAGCCTCTCTGAATCCTTCCCAGCCTAAACTTCTGACATGGTGGCTACTCCTTCTTCAACCCTGGGGATGCTTACCTGTCTTGTTGGATCTCAAACTCCCGGAGAGCAGGGACCACTTGTCACAGTGCTCAGTCAGTGGTCTTATGCATGGCAGATGGTGGTAGCAATAGATCCTCCCCATGTGCCGGAGCTGGTTCTCTATGGAGCCTACTCCTTAGTGCTTGACAGCTTGTATCTGGGTACTGGTTCTGCTCATGGGATCCTGAGGAAGCTGCTGTCTTGGGTAGTTAGGAACCCTTCATAGTCAAGCAAAGTTGATAACAATGGCTATAAGTCACTGCTAGTAGATGTCCTGGTCAGTGATAGCCACCTCCTAAGCACTTTATTCCCTTTGTTTAAGTTACAAAAAAGCCATTTCCCAAAATCTTAGGTTAGTGATATATAACTAAGCCTGTTTTTAATTATAGGCCCAGAGTGTCTCCAATCTCTACTTAAAACATAGAAATAATCAGCTGACCGACAAGCTAGCTTTTTGGATGTCACTTGTTAGATGGCAAGTGTCTATGTGTTTGTTGATCTTTCCTTTTCAAGTTTCTTCTTATCTGGAGAAACAGCTGTATGTAATTAGTCCTGGAAAACTTTGAACTAAACTTCATTAAAATGAGAGCGCCTAAATATTCACATCTTTTATTCCATAACATTAGAGTCATGAAATTGCCTTCATTTGCGTCATTACCAAGTTACATTTAAGGATGATCGTTATTTCTCAGTTCTGTTCATTTGTCCACTGCTATCAGATGAGAGTCATGTAAGACTGTTACCACCTCATCTTTTTTCAGGTCATTTTCTCTTTCCTCATTATTTCCATTGATCCTGTAGAATTTACCCCACTGGTTCTACCTTTTGAGCTCTTTTCTTCTCATCTACCAGATTGTTTTTGGATGATTTCTTCTATTCCTTTGTGTCAAGTACAATCTGTTGCCAGCTTATTTCCAAAGCACTATCTCTAGACATTCTTACGAGCTTCTCTGCATTCTTTTCCTACTGGCAAAGCCCCAGGGGGCATCTCAAATTGAACTTATCCAAGACATAGTTTCCTGTGTTCCTCGCAAAACCAAACAGAACACCTATTATTATTATTCTGTATACCCTATTTTCATAAAAGGCACTGTTGTGTAATTAATTGCTCAAGCCAGAAACTTCAGAGGTGGTGGGTGATACGTTAGGTTTTCAGGAAAACAGACTCTAAGATAGAGCTGTGTGTGTGTGTGTGTGTGTGTGTGTGTGTGCGTGTGTGTGTGTGTGTAGGAGCTATCTGTTGCTCTCCATCCCTCCTCTCCCAAAATAGTAAAAGTCAGGAAATAATGTGTTCATCATGACATTTATTCCTGCTGAATCTGGATATGACCTCTGGGGTCTTCTTAATCCAGTGTTCCCAGCATTTGTTACCATTCACTGGATTGGTACAGAAAGCAAAATCAGTCATCCAGATCTGATGCTGTGGTGTACATCTACAGGCATCTCTCCAGACCTCTGCACACAAACATTATTAGTACCACACGGGTGGCAACTTGCTTAGGGAGCAGTGGTGAGCCCTTGCCTAGACAGAGCAACAAAGGCAAGACAAAAAGCCAGGGGTGCTGTGAGGTAAATGTCAGGCAGGAGTGTTCTAGAATGCCTGCCCAGAAAGCAGAGACCCTGAAGAGTGCATGCAGAATAAAAGGGCTTTGCACTAACATCCTTACCTTTTATCTCTTCTTTTTTGCTCCAGGTTACGTTACAGCGGATATTTTGGGGGTGTTACTGCCTTAAGCAGAGAGCAATTTTTCAAGGTGAATGGATTCTCTAACAACTACTGGGGATGGGGAGGCGAAGACGATGACCTCAGACTCAGGTGAACAAAAGAGAAAGGTCCCCTTCATGGGGCTCTGCTATCAGTGGTGGCTCTGGAAACCCGTGTTACTGTATAGTTCCTATAGACACCAATCTGCCCGGTCACAGGGCTGAAGATTTGGTTTAAAGCGTGGCAGGGTATGGAGGGAGGGCAGGAGACCTGAATTATTGTTCACCAGGGGTGATGGAAGGTGGTGTTCTGTTCCTGTGTTTGGGGTGCAGAAGTGTTGGTGGAGGCTTCTGAGGCTCATCAGTGGGGAGGATTTACCAAGACAAGGTCTCGCCAATGAGTGAGAAGCTCTAGACTGCAGGGTGTCTGAAACTGTGACAGAGAAGTCTTGTGTTGAAGCTTTGTGCTTTTTCTCAGTCCCCAGAGACCCTGGCACTATGCCCAGCATGGTATTCAGAGTGGGTAATGCCTACAGCCTCTGAGGATATCCTTTCCTGCATGCTGTGGAAGCCGCTGCTGGCCAGGGATGTTGGCTTTACCCCAGGTTCACAAGGGCCACTTTCTGCTCTGGAGGACTCAAAGGAATATGCCCAGGATGTCTAGCCTCCTCTCTCAACTTCCTCCCCTGAACTTGGATTTGGGGGCCAGATAGTTGTAGGTATCCCAGCTCCCAGAAATCAGTAATTATTTAAGAGCCTATTGCTGATATGTTAGACATGTGATCACCGGGTCTTCGTGGCTGTTATCAGACCCCTTCTCCTATTGGTACCTCTTGCAAAGTGAGTTCCTATGTAGGGGTTTTGAATTAATACATGTGTGATTATCAAAAGTTTCCAATTGCTTTGGCATGATAAAGTCAAAGGTTCCATGCTGGTCTTGTTCCCAGGCCTAAGGTGAGAGGCTCTGGAATGTTTCTGGCAGGAGGGCATATATTTCCCTGACCATCAGCTTCATGTGGTTACCAATCAGCAGCCTAGGTGGTCATGGCTTAGGAACTGGATGCAGGGTGCCTGTTGGGTTGGTTTCAGGCATAGCAGCAAGAGCTAGAGTTAACCAGTACCCATCTTCTTCCCCAAATCCATCTCCTTGCCTAGCTGGGATGGTTGATAGATTTGTGCTTTGATTACCTATTTTCACTCTCTTTTCCTGCTACCCCTCAGCTTTAAGATAGAGGGGATCCTCAAGCTTTAGTTTTACTTTATGAGAACATCATAGCCTTCAGAATGATTTTCAACTAGTGCTATGGACAAACCAGAATGATTGGTACATAAAAGTTAGTTGAGATTCATCAACTCAATATTTACTTCCACCCTTCCTTGCTCTCACTTAATATACCTCAGTTTGCAAAGCATGTTCTGTGTGACTTATGTCGCTTGATTCTTTCAAAGCAACTCTGTGTCACTGTTGACATTTTATAGATGTGGAGACTTGTAACAGTGAACTGTCTTTTTTTTTTTTTTTTTTGAGACAGGGTCTCACTAAGTAGTTGAGACTGACGTGGAACTCACTATGTTGCCCAGGCTGGTCTCTAACTCATAGCGATCCTCCTGCCTCATCCTCCTGAGTGCAGGGATTACAGGCATGTGCCAGCATGCCGGGCTAACAGTGAACTGTCTCACTGAGACTGTAAACAAGAGCCTAGATAAATTTAAACCTAGATCTGAGGCTTTAAAGCTCATGACCTTACATAAGTAGTCCTTTCTTTGCTAAAGAAGACAGTGTTAAGTAAATTAGAGATTGTAGGAGACTTGATTTTCCTATTCCTCAGCACATAATTAAAACACTAAATATATTATCAGGTTTAAAAAAAAGTGACTGTAAATTGAATATCCCCATGGTGCCTCAGTTGTAAATATGAAATGTGATTCTTTTATGGACTTCTTGTCTGAGGTCTCACCAGTATAAGAAAATCTTTTTATTTTTTGATACCCAAGCAAAGTGCATGTGTGTGAGCTTTTGCAATGATTCTTAAGTGCCCAGTGCTAGAAGAATGGAAAGGATTCAGTTTTTAATCTCTTCTGCTGTTTTTCTAGGGTTGAGCTTCACAGAATGAAAATATCTCGGCCAAAACCTGAAGTGGGTAAATACACAATGATCTTCCACACTAGAGACAGAGGCAATGAAGTGAACATGGAAAGGTAAGTCCTAGGTTCATGTCTGGCAACCTGCGTCTGGCCCCTTCTGTCAAAAGGGACTGTGCTGAATTCCATCAGATGAGCAAGTTCCCTTTGTTATAAGTTTTTTTTGTTGTTGTTGTTATTTTTTTTGAGACAGGGTCTCACTATGTAGTTAAGACTCACCTGCAACTCACTATGTAGCCCAGGCTGGTTTCGAACTCACAGCGATCCTCCTGCCTCAGCCTCCCGAGTGCTGGGATTACACATGTGCGCCACCACACCCAGCTGTTAAAATTTTTTTATGAAAGAAACTTTCAAGCAGAAGCAAAAGTAGGGAGATGGTGCATGGACCCCTCCTTGTCTACTCATAGACTTTTTCCTTTCCTCCTCTACTAGATTATTTAGAAATAAATCAAAGATATCATAAATTTTGTATGAAAATCTTTTGGTACACATCCTTGAAATATAAGAAGTCTTCTGAAAAGAAATGCAGTTCCATTATCATACCTAACATAAAATTAGCAGTATTTCCTAAGTATCATCAAATGTTAGGTTTCCCTGATTATCTCATACATGCTTTTAACAGTTGGTTGTTCAGTTCAGTGTGTAGATTGGGTGACCATTTTAAATCTAGACGTTCCCCTGCCCCACCCTTTTCCCTTGTGATTTATTTGATAATCACACCAGGTCATTTGTTCAATACAATGTCTTATCTTATGGATTTTTGACAATTGTACCCTGGTGGTATAATTTGGTTTCTTCCTGTGAATTTTCTAAAATATTTTTTAATAAAATAGGAATTAGCTTGAACAGATTCTAGATACTATTTTGGGGCAGAAACACTTCATCAGTGGCATTGTTTCTCTCCTCTTGTGTCACCACAGGAGCAGTTATTATCTGGGTATGTATCTGTAGAGATGTTAGGAAAGATCCTGGGTTCAGATTTTGTCAGCCTGATCTGTTCATGGTGAGATTCCTCATTGTTTTTTTCACCTAATGATGTTTAGCATCCACTGATGCTCATTGTCTAAAATGTATTGTTTAACATACTGTTAATTTTGTCATTTCTTCTTTGCTCATTACATTTTTCTCCCAAGAAGGACCTGCCCTCTTCATCAATTTTATTTTATTTTTTTTGTACCAGGGATCGAACTCGGATCCTTGTGCTTGCAAGGCAGGCAGCAGAACCACTGAGCTAAAGCCCCGGCTCTTCATCTATTTTTGTATACCCTAGAGTGCAGTTTTCATTGCATAGGCAGAGTAAAGGGAAATAATCAAGCATTGATTTCTCATTTTTCAGAATAATGAGCCAGTAGTGCCTAGCATCTTTCAGGATGTAGTTAATGTCCTTTTTCATACTCAAGTTGTCTCATCTGTGGCCAGTGGAACCTTCTTCAAGCTGCCTCCTGAATCCTTTCAACATAACCCCAGTACCCTTTGAGAGTTTCCTGTCCTGTGCTCTCAGCACACTTCCCGGGCCCAGGAAATGGCCCTTTTTTTGGAAGATGAGCCGGTTTTTTTTGTGGCTCTGATTCAGGAATATTTCTTCTGAATTTTTTCCTGAATTTTAAAACAGTATTAAAGAGCTTTGAACCCTTTTGTTAGAGTTTGCCATCCCAACAAAACAGCTACTATTTTTATGTTCAGCGTTTTTCCAATTTTGTCTCTAGGTGTGTGCTTTTGTCTTTAAATTTTAAAAATTATTGAATAGTTACAAAAGAGAAAAGTATGGCGATTCTTGCTACGCCACACCCAGTGGATGTTCATGCCCTTGTGGCCTCCCTAATCTCATTCCCTCCCGCTTCCTGCCCTACTCCACCCCAGTAACACTTTCCTGAATTTCTGTGATAATTATATATGCTAATGATAATTGTTTCTGTTTCTTTTTTCCACTTATGTTTTAATCCCTAGACAAAAGAGTGTTTAGTTTTGCATGTTTTTCAACTTTATATAAGTGAAATCACACCATACATCTTCTCCACTGGCATTTTTCAGCTTACCATTATACTTCCTCTCTCCATTGCAATTGTTTTCAATGCTGAGATCCCGGAGACCTGTTCCTTTCAGGGCTCGCTTCTCTCCCCACTTTCCTTGGATCCCATCGCTTGAATGATACATCCGTCCTCAAATGCATCCTGGTCTTTTGTGTGTCCATGCACCTTTCCTGTGATCTCTCTGCTGAAGTGTTCTTTCCTTCACCTTCTTCGCTTAGTGACTTTCACCTCTTAATCCTAAGTGAAATTTGCCCTCTTTATCCCCCTCACCAGGCTACCCCATGAGGTTAGTGCCCTTCATTCATCCTCTTTTATGTATATCCTCAGGGTTTTTTAGACTCTTCTTAGGGCCGTGTGTCCACCCCATCTGCAGACGTGAAACTCCCCTAACAACCCTGGAGGGTCCAGAGATCCCTTAAAGCTCAGCCAAGGTCTTGGTAACAGCAGGTGTTGTGCATCCTATTGTACGATGAGGGGTGTCCTTCCTCTGTCCTGCAGCCTGAGGACACTAAGGCTGGTGACTCCTTCACCAATGGTCCCTACTGTCTTACGTGGACTCTGACACATGAGTACACGACTACTGTTGCTGTTGTTATGTTTAATGGAGAAAACAAATGTTTTTGGCTGTAGGAAACCTAACGGGTGCAATAATTTATAAAATGTACATACTTAAATTTATATATACTTTTGCTCCATTTTGGGGTAAGGCAAAAAAAAAAAAAAAAACCACAGGAGACGTGTGCTTTTTTTTTGTATAAAGCATATGACCTCATTTATTTTAAAGTAAAGATCACATATTTGCTTCTATATGCATGAAATTTTTTCTGAAAATTACACAAGAAACTATTCATAGAGGTTACATCTGGGGACTAGCAGCATTGGGGGTAAGATGCCAGAAGTAGATTTTTCACTTTCTGCTCTTTTGATTTTCACTTTCTGCTCTTTTTATCTTTAGGATGAAGCTCTTGCACCGGGTGTCACAGGTCTGGAAAACAGACGGCTTGACTAGCTGTTCTTATAAATTATTGTCTGTGGAACATAATCCTTTATATATCAACATCACAGTGGATTTCTGGGCTGGTGCATGACGCTGAATCTTTTGGCGTTTGTAAAACTGATTGCAATAATTTTGGCCTAGAGACTTTCTCTAGTAGCACACATTGAGAACTTGTTGCAGCCAGTTACTGAGCTGAATGTTTCCTTTTTGCATTTTCTTAGCAGAGCTCCTGATGATATCGAATGTAAACGACTGTAACAATACAGGTTTTTTAATTGTTTTGATCATTTAGGGTTAAATATTGTAATAGGTAGTTGAAAGACAGCATAAAAAGATGACTGAAAGGATATCATGAAGGCTTCCTGAAAACTCGGATTGGGGGGGATTTATTTAAGTTTGAAGTGGTGCATTATGAGAGAAAAGCTCATAGAAAATGGGATTGCTGAATGTCTCAGAGAACTGGAATTGTTCTCATCCAAGCAAGAAAGGTACGAAGACACATTTCCATTGCTCATTTATCCTGCGTGGGATCTGTGAAATGGTGGGTCCTGGGGGAGAAGGCCATGGAAGAGGCCACGGAAGAGGCCACAGAAGAGGCTGTGAATTTGGAATGAAGAGGTGGCAGGAGGACAGGGAGTCAGATGAACTGGCCTTGACAGCTCTGTGGGTCCTCAGAAGTGGATGCTGCCCACCCAGATATACCTTCCCGAAAGTGCCCAGCAGACAGCACATTAGCTGCTAGTTTTTAAAGCATTTTTGTACAATAATTTTATACATGTAGGATATAACTTAACAGTTTAAAAATTACACAATAACTAATAACTAATAATACATCTATAAAGTACCTCTCTAGTAAAATATGAAAAAGCTTCAGCTATTCAGTCTTGTTTTTTTGCTATCATTGGAAGTCACAGATGTATTCATTTCAAGATCCTTTTATTTTATTTTCATTGAGTTTATTGGTACCTTTTAGGTATACAGTACAGTTATATTCATCATTGGGATCTTGTACCTTTACATGATGTATCTTGGTTATTTTTTCCCCATACCCCTGCCCGCCCTTCACCCCTCCCCCCTCCCCTATTTACAAAGACTTTATTTCCATTTTTTCCTTTTCTCATATTTTTTCTTTTCCCTTATTTCCTTTCCCCTCTCCTTCCTAGTTCCCCTTTAACCATTTTCTTCCTATTTCACACTATCAGTTATACCATTTGAACCTTATTTACACTTTTAGTTTTTCACACCTGAGAAACTATTCAGTATTTACTCATGTGTCCTATTTATTTCACTTGAGTATGGCCTCAATATGCATCCATTTAGCTATAAATGCCTCTAATTTCTCATTCTTTATAGCTGAGTAGTACTCCATTTTATAGAAAAACCACGTCTTCTTTATCCAGTCTCCAGTTGTTGGGTAACTGGGCTGTTTCCAAGTTTTAGCTATTACAAACTCTGCTGCTATAAACATGGGTACACATATATCGCTGTGGTATGATTCTTTTAATTCTTTTGGGAAGATACCTAGCATAGGGATATCTGGGTCAAATGGGACCTCTAATCCTAGTTTATTGAGGTTCAAGATCCTTTATTTCAAACAGCTTAACAATAGAACAAATGAAATCAAATCCTCCTACTCTTTTTCATGCGTCCGTTCCCCTCTCTGCTCCTCTGTATGTCTTCCTGCACAGCCAGCTCCAGGAAGTGTCTCTGTCTCTGATTCCCAGGGCCTCTCCGGGTTTGTTCTTTTCATCCTCTTATGCCCGCTCCTTTCCCGTAATCGGTAGGAACATCCGGGTGATCTCAGGGTTGCCACTGCTTGGATATGGGACAGGCACGAGTGGGGCTAGCCCTTGAGGAGGCCCAGGGTTGGGAAGCCTTTGATTTGGGATGATGGTGGGGCTGTGGCCCTGACTTGGGTGGTGATAGTTACTTGGGAGAACAGCCACCAGTCCAACGAGCTTCTTGGGGAAGTGCAGGGGAATATGGAAAAGAATAAAGGAAGTAACTGAAGCCATCTGTCACTGGGTTGGAACAGCAGTACACATATTCTTTTTGCTTGAGGGAATGAATGGACACATCAATAAGGTAGGAGTGGATGTTCTTAAGCAAGTATTGTGATGTACCTGAGCCCCAGGGGCCCTCAAGCCACTGTCTTTACATGACATCCTCACTGTTAAACCTTAACATGAATGGGTGCCAGCCAATTGGGGTAAACAACATCTCCCAAACACAGAGGGAAAGGACAGTTCAGAAGCACCCAAGAAAGACAGGTAAGTTACCACCTGAGTGACAAAAGAGAATTTGAAAGGAGAGTATATTTTTATAGGTAAGATGGTTTTACTTAAGGGCTAGCTTGATTTACATTTCATTCAGACTAGGGAGTAAAAGTTGGGCATTTTCTTTATTCAGCAAAACAGTACTAACTGTTTTCATATTTCTCTAAAGGAGTTTCATTCTTGGGAGACATGCTAATAGGGTGTAGTAGATGGTGATGGTGCTTTCCCCTTTCCTTCCTCCTCTTCTGCGGGACTTTTCTCTAGTACTATTCTGTCCCACTCCTTTAATTATCAAGGTGGTAATAGACTTCAGCTTAGAGGCACCTGGTTCTGCTCACAGCTGGGGAGAATCATGGGCTAGAATGGTGTGTGCAGAGAATTCAAAGACACATAGTGTCAAATTGTCCATTTCTTACTCAGTGGAAATAGAATACAGCTAATACCACATGAGAATTCGCCATTTTTGGTTTTTTTTTTGTTATTAATAAGATCTGCATTTAAAAAAAAATGTTGGAAGCCACTGAACTATGCCTTTTAGTTTTCTTCAGATAATTGTTTCAACCAAGATAGTGACTTGTGAAACTTCTTGTGGTAGAAGATAATTTTTTAAGATCTGTATACCACCCTGTGCCATTTGAGTGGTGCAGGGAGTCCGGCTCTGTGGCTGGCTGGGGGGTGCACGTGGCCACCTGCTTGGCTGTGGAGTTTTGCTTCAAAGGAACTAAGCTCATCCCAGTCCCTGCCTTTTGTACCTTTTTTCATTGTCAATTGCGCAAAGAGGCCAAGCATTTTCCTTGTCTCTGAGATGCTTATGTGCACCATGTTGCTAAGAATTATGTGAGTGCAGACTATTTAGACATCACAAGCACCTAATGCAAAGAGTCTGCTACTTTAAAGTTTTCGTTGCTTTTTTTCTCACTTACGCTAGCATTCATTTTTATAGTGCTTTGTGGCTTGTGACATTTCAGTGCACACTTTATGGACACTGTGGACTCTTCAGATAAGGGGGCAGAGGAGGAAGTGGAGGTGCAGGACAGGTGGGTCATTGCCAGAAATTCCACAACTAGTAAATGGAAGGTCAAGGCCAACTCAGGCCTTCTGACTTCCAGCACGTTATACCATGTGGTCTTCATCTGAGCTGCTCAGACTTTGAGGTGGTTTTCTTGGGTTGATATCGCTGTCTTCTACAGCTTCCAAAGGGCCGCCAGATCCTAAAAAGTATATTCAGATCATCTGGTCTCTTTCTGTTTTTTTTTTCCAGACTGCCTTCCTACTTAATCTGCCTGTAGCCCCCTTACTTTCAACTAAGTCCTAGTTGGATAATTTTCTTGGGAGCCCCAAAGTGCTCTGAGAGTGAACTTGAGGGAAGTGAATGATGTTTTCTGCCACAAACCCTGGTTCCCTGTAAAGAACCATTCATTTACTACACAATGAAACCTATTGATGTCCATGTGTAAATTGTTTTTCACTGATATTTTAAATTGTTGCCACTTTTGTGTGTGTGTGTGTGTGTGTGTGTGTGTGTAGTCATACCTGCTGAAAGGGTCTACTGAGACCGTGTACACAAGGGAGTGGCTCACAGGCTCTATCCCAGAGAGCAGACCTCTATAGATAAATGCTCTATTGTTCTTCTGACAGTTGTTGAGAATTCAAATATCATTCCTTGAGTGTCCACATGGAAGGGGGAGGGAGAATATGAGGAAGGGAGGGAGGGAGAGAGAGAAGAGAATGAGAGGGAGCGCATGAGCATTTTGGAAGAGATGTTGGTGATGGGTAGGGCATAATAATTGAATCCTTGGGCTGGGGATTTAGCTAAGTGGCACCATGCCTGCCTTGCAAGCGCAAGGTCCTGAGTTTGATCCCCAGTACTGGAAAAAAAATTTTGAATCCTTGCTCTGTATAATTTTTTCTGCCTTAAGAATTTCAAATTCTAACTTTCTAATAGCTGTGTGTGCACACATATGTGTGTGTGCTGCAAAGAGAAAACAGATTCAAGTTAACTTCCCAAAGTTGGTAGAAGAGGAGGTGAGGTTTGAAATGGATCTCTCTTAATGTGAATATTGTGCCAACCTCCTCTGATATCACAGTGTAAGGGAAATGGATTTCCCTGTGATGGAAGCTAGGGCAGAATCATATTTTATTGCTAGGATTCTAGAAACTAGAGAACTGGAGATGTATTCATTAAAATGCCTTATCTTGATGACTCCAGTACATTCTCCCATTATCGAATAGGAGTTTCTCTGGAAAGTTATTACTCACAGCTATTGTTGGATGGCCAGTAAATTTGAACCCATATAATTGGTCATTAAGCTTATTACAATAACCTGAAGCAAGATAGCATTAGTTGGTATGTTCTCATGGATTAGGGCCAACAGATTCATGGCTTATCTTCCCATGAGGTATCTTGTAGCTTGTTAGCCATTCTGATCCATACTTTACTTGGTTTACAAATCCTCCCAGTCTTATAAGGGGATAGATTTTTCTAAACGAGGCTCCAAGAAACTAAAGAACTTGTCCAAGTTATGTAGAGCCAGGATCTAAGAAAGTGGGTTCTGCTGTGATTGTCCCACTAAGTTTGTCCCCACCTGTGGTGAAATTTGGACCTTCTGTGAAGGCTCTAGGTCTCTAGATAGGAAGCTAACTGGAGAGGGGGCAGAGAGCAGAGGCCTTCTTTCCTCCTAGTTACCACTTGTAGGAAATTAAGTAATTTGACTTGGGGAACTGCAAACGGGCTGTCTTGCCTCATGGTACCTCTTTCCTACTACTGTGAAAGAAAACCCCACTGAAACTGAGGGAGTGGGGGCTGGTTGTCACTTAATATGAATTAGTTTTCAAAATTAGTTTTCCTTGGCTTTGCTGAGATCCAGTCGCAAGGGGAAGGAAGAGAATGTTGTAAGCAGAGAGCATTTTGGAGAATAAAGCCCTGGGAGAGAAGGAAGCTGTGAGTTTGAGGCAGAATTAGTGAAGCGTGTGAGGACACTGGGAAACCTAGTTAGTGTGGAAGCGAAAGGCACCAGGTGTGTGTGGGAGTGTGAAAGGGAGATAAAAGCTTTAAGTGAGTGAGCTCCTACCCTCTCTGGAAAGACCACAGGAGAGAGCCTTCTTGGCCAAGTGCTGGGGCCATTTACCCTGATATTCCCCAAGGTGCCTTGACCCTAGAGAGACAAGGTAAGGCAAGGGTGGGGTATGCTGCTTTGGCCACCTGTCCTGGGATCAGGGACCATGCTCCTGCCCCAGCTTGGCCACTGTGTGCCTGAGTGGGGCACCCTGCATTCTTCCTCAGCCCTCTTCTCCCCAAGCTCAGCCTCATTTACGGAAACTGCTGGGCCTGGATGCGGGTGCTCTCTGTACCCCAACTGGCTGTCCCCAAGGACCAAGCACATTTTCTTCACTGGGCCAGTGGTATCGGAGAAGTTTGCTTCCAAGAGCAGGAAGAAAAGGATTTTTGTGGGTAAGTGCAGCAGGAGTGAGAAATAAAAGCAAACAGGGTTCCCACCAACCTGCTGGGCAGTGGGGTGAGCCAGCATCCTGCTGAAAACTGCACCTCATGTCTGTAGTTCCTCTCTCATCTACTTCCATTCCCATGAGCTCGTCTTGCCTACTGGAAAACTCATGTTGTTAGACTTATGCAGGACCATTTGTGACACTGGTAAAGATTAAGAGAGTGAACATATTTTAAATCCCTCTTTATTTACAAGAGTAAGCTAGCAAAGGCTGAGTGATAAGAACTTCTTCTGGGACCAAAAATGGAAATATTCCAGAAGAGAAATATTTTGACAGCAAACAAAAATCTCTATGAATCACCCACTCTAAGAGCTGGCCTACACCTTGCTGGTTTGAAAGCTGTTTTGAGTGAAGATAATTCAGGGCAAAGACTGAATAAATATATAACAGGCTTCTTTTGTGTCTCCAAGTACACACACTTTTTTCTATTCTTGGGGTACTGGGGATTGAACCCAGGGCCTTTGCATAAAGCTATATCCCATTCTTTCTTTCTTTTTTTTTTTTTTTGTTTTTGGATACCAGGGATTGAATTTGGAATCTTGGACTTGCAAGGCAGGCGGCAGAACCACTGAGCTAAATCCCCAGCCTCTATTTTTATTTTTATTTTGAGGAAAGTTCTCCTTAAGGTCTAATTTGCAGAGGCTAGATTTAAACTTGTGATCCTTCAGCTTTGGCCTCCCAGAGTACTGAGATTACAGGCATGCACCACTATGCCCGGCTCCACTATGCTCAGCTCCATATACGTTTGAGGTTTTTTTTTGGTACCATGGATTGAACTCGGGTCGTTGCACTTGCGAGGCAGGCAGCAGAACCACTGAGCTAAATCCCTAGCCCTCCATACACTTTTAATTAATGGTGAATTGAGAATATTAGACACAAAGCACTCTGAAAGACGTGAGAGGAAAGTTCAACTACTGTTAAAGATCATAGGTTGCTCTGTAGAATAAAAGGGAGTGAAAGCAGTATCAAGAGAATTGCTAGAGTCTCATAAGTCAGGGGCCATGGAATAAAAGGCTAAAGGTACATTCTGTATTCTTTCCTTCCCTCATCTGGAAAACACTGAGATAAATGGAAGCCTTAGAAGATTAGTGTGTGTGTTTTTTTTAGAAAACTTGAGAAATAAGGGCAGATCTGCTCTTGAAATACATACAGACCTGGCTTACTGTGACAATACAGGTTTCTTTGAATGTCTTTATACCCCATATAAAAAATGAAGAGGGGTGAGAACAGTCACCACTTTCCAGATTTTATCCATCTTGTAATGCACAAAAATGACACAGAATCTTTTACTAGGATGAAAAATAGCATTTCTGAGAAGTGTAAGAGCTAGGAGGCCTAACACAGTTCCATGCCCTCTGCCTCGGTGATACAACAAAGATGTTCACATTACTGCAGGTACAAATTTAGGGGGAGCAAGTTCCAGCACCAAATCCAGAGTCCCCAGAGGAAGGAGGTATAGTGGTCATACTTCATGCTTAATATTCAATTCTGCTCCAGTAGAACATGGTACCCAGGAGAACCCAAAACTAGAATAAAGGGAAAAAACAAAAATAAATTTAAAAAATTCAAGAAACATCTATTAAAAAAAGAGGTTAGGTTCATTCAAGCTTAGGTGACTCTACCTTCTCTAAGAGTAATATTGCCCTAAGCATCACCACACAGTAGATGTGGCATGAGTCCCCTGTTCCAAAGCATCCCTTGAACTCAGTGCCTCTCAGAAGCAGTGTCCTTGTTCCCCACTTTTCAACCCCAGTTCCCATCTCAGACTCCCTGACTTCTGAGGTTGAGCATTTCACTTCTGTGCTAGGCTAAACCCAACTCTTACCATGCACAAGTTCTCTCCTCTTGCCATTAAGTCTCTCTTGCATTCCAGTTTCTAGTAGGCACCATTTTGGGGTAAGAGTTTTTGGCTTTTGGTATCAACCCTCTCCTCCCAGGGGATAGCTGGTCTGGATGCCACAGAATTCACTGTGTCTGACTAAGGTAAGAAGTTGGGATATATGGGCTGAGTTTCACCTACTTGTCACCTATTCCCAGGGACTTAGCTTTCCTGAGTCTCTGTTACTGAATCTGTAAAATAAATACACCACTTTCCTCTACCTCCCTCAGATATAGAGGAGCAAACGAGACAATGAAATAGTAATGCTGGGGCCTAAGGTTTACTAGGGGACCTTATACACATCAGGCACTGTTGCTTCTAAACCCTCTGCAGAAGCCAAGGCACAGAAATTAGGATCTCACCCAAACCACAGAGTAAACAAGAGCTGGGTTCCAACCCAGGCTGTCAGCCTCAGAGTTTACTTCATTAACCGCTGCAGGAAAGCAGCAGGGAACTGGATACACCTAGGACATCTTAAATCCTGCTCCTTGTAAGATGAGAGATTGGCAGCTACCTACGGAGCTACTCGTGTGGGGATTTAATGTTAAAGTAATTTGACATAATATCTTGACCATGAAGGATTCTCAGTACCTTTATTTTCCTTTGCTTCTGTGTTTTGAATTTTAAGAGAGGCTTGTAATATCTAGAATCCATGGAAATATTAAGGGGTATAATCGGTCTGGCACACTGTAGGAAGGTACTCAAAAGTCTTTAAATGTTTTCCTATCATTTCCACTAATATGAATAATAACTTCACAATTATAATCTTGCATTCATCCAGGCATGGTGGCACACACCTGCAGTCCCCAGCACTCGGGAAATTGAGGCAAGAGGATTGCCATGAGTTCAAGGCAAGCCTGGGCTACATAATGAGTTCAAGGCCAGGGCTGAGCAACACAGCTCTGATCTCTTGTTGTATGTGCATCAGGGAAAGGGGAAAACAGAAATGATGAGACTGGAAGAGGCAGTGCTTTGGGAAGAGCTCGGTGGATTTGTGTTAGGCAGGAGCTGTCTAGAGAGGTCTTTGAGATCTAGTGCCATGAATTAATGAGATCTGGAGCATCATGCTAGAATTCATGAAGAAGTCCAGGCAAGAGAAAGAAGTTGTCCAGCTCCCTAGATGTCAGTGGGCTCCAGGCAGCCTGAAGAAAGATCAGGTACTGTATTAATTCCCCAGGGAATTAACTCCCCAGGCTTTAAGAGAACCCACTGTCATTGTTCAGGTGTCAAACAGCATTGAGCTGCAGAATATTGTGTCCAGATCTTCTAGTGTGACTGTGACAACCACCATAGTCTTCAAAACACCCCTTTCAGAAATAAAAGTTGTGCAGGGCAGTACTCACGGTCCAGCAGAGAATGGCAAATCCAAACCAGGCAATGCCCCAAGCGTGGCGGTTCATTGGCCCAGAGATCAGTTCATAGCAGCCCTGCATCACACCCATGACGGCGTAAGAGGAACCAGAAAGAGAGGATGTATGAGATGGGTGGGAAAACAGATTCCTACTCGAGTCAGTAACCTCCAGAGTCCAGCTTCACAACCAGTTTATTTTCATATCCCTGCGGGGAGGCAACTTCTAGGAGTGTTTTACTAAGCGAACATAAATAATACTGTTGAAAATTATCTATATCCCATTTATCGTTGTATTTATCACTCAGTCTCACTAACAAAAGTGTTGATATATTAGCATATTTTCCATATTAAACATGTGGATAATTTGCTCTTAAAAATTCAAATTTTTTCCTTCCCAAAAGGTCTCATTGGTATTGGAGGGCAGGGTTATTTTTTAAATTTGTTTTTAAGAAAAAAACAAAGGTTTTCTATTGCCATTTAAAGATAATTATTAACAAACCCTATATCATGCCCCCTAATTTCTCATTTCACATCATATTTCAACATATCTGTATTGGATTCTAGTGAGAACTTGAAAAGTCAAGGTGTTTATGCACTTGAGTGATTAGGTTTATGCATTCATTCACATATGACATAACCCAGTAGTTATTTGTAGGTGGCGTACTCTGACCTAGTCACTATGCAGTTCTGGAGTTATATGTGTGTAAGGCTAGACCTCCCATGCAAGCAACTGCCAGTAGACCCCTGGAATCCAGGGAATAGAATAGTTAGGAAATGCAATAACCAGGCCTGATTCCATGAACCACGAAATCCAGAGGCAAATGCTCCAGCAAATGTCCTAGGCTGACCATGAAGTTTGAGCTCTACCCAGTGGTTCCTGGTGGTACTTGAGGGTCTGTCCTTTATGACTCTACCCTTGTCCCTTGTTTATCCATGTCCATGTTCTGTCTTTGCTGTTCCTTGATTTGTCCCTATTTACTCTTCCTACACAGACACCCAAATTAAAAAACATCAGGATTATCCTTAACTGTTTATCCCTTATCCAACATCTAATACTTAAGCAAATCCTTGTTGGTCTACTTCTTATCATTCCCAGAACTGCCTTGGCCCACTAGGGCCACACAGTAGAATTACTGTAATAGCGTCCTGGTTTCCCACAAGCCTGAATCCACTCACAAACTCTAAATCCATCCTTGCCTTCTAGCCATCTTCATTCACTCTGGTCTTCTCAGGATGATATCCTCCAATGCTCCTCCAAAGAGTGAAGAATTCCTTCTCTAGGGCCTTTGCACTCACTGCTTCCTTCATTGCGAACTGCCCCTCCCTTGCCCCACCGTTTCCCAGTGTCTCGCTTCCTCACTCAATTCAGAACTTTGGGACCATCATCTCAATGAAGCCTTTGCTAACAACTGTGGAGACAATCCTTTTTCCTTTCATAATATGTGTACTTTACCCTGTTTTATTTATGCTCATGGCATTCATTGCTACCTGGAATTGCTATGTAATTCTTTGTAGCACATTTATTATCTGTCTCCCATATAGCAAATTCCATTAGGGCAGAGATTTCATGTTTTCACTGTTGAATCTACAGAACCTAAAGTAATAGTCTGGCACAAGTAAATACCTAATGAATATTTACAGAATGAATGGAATGTGATATTAGGCAATGATTACAACAGAATCATCTGTAACACACTTGATGGTTCACAAACCATTTCTATTCTCCTGAAAATTCTGAGAAATGATCATTCATTTAAATATATATGTATACACTCACTTAAGCCTGATGCCAAGTACTAGGCTGGACGTTTAGCTGTGACAAGACAGAAGTGGGTCTTTCACAGTTAAACGGAGCTCACATACAAATGGAGCTCACAGACAAAAGCCCGTTTTTCGTTCCTTCTTATTAGTGAATTTTCATGAAACTAATCATTTTAGTGGTGCTTTACTTTCTTAGGTCCATTATAATATTCTTGAGGTATAGTGATCATAATATGCACACAGAATTTCTGAGGTAAATGGACCATGATATTATATATATTATATATTAATAGATCATATTAGATATCATATCACATATATATATGTATATGTTCTGCTAAGTAAAATTCTGGCTGATTCCTACATTACCACACTTATGATGATTTTGCTCATTTTGTTAGTGTTCATGGCTATAGCAGCACACTGTACATTGTAGATCTTAAAAAGCTGTACTATGGATGTAATAGAGCCACTCATATCTTCATTCATCCACCTACCAAATATTTATCGCATGCTTGCTTTGTGCCAGGCATTATGCTAGTACTAAAGGCACAGAACTGAATATGCACAGTCCTTAAGGAGACTCAGAAAAAATAACTTGCAAGCCAAGATGGTGCAGCATGGTGAATATGAGAGCAGTTGCATAGCAGGAGTTGATGTGGCATAGTTTGTGGAAAAGGATCGCTGGGCAGAATTAGCTGCACCTGTAAATCAGAAGTGGGGGAACTGGGCTAAGGAGAATCAGAAAGTCACGAGGCTGTGACGGGGTGAAGAATGAGCGGCGGTGAGGACAGGGATCACAGGGAGTCGGGGACAGAGGCAGAGATTCTGGAGCTCAGGACACTGGTGATGGAGTGGGGCTGAGTCCCAGTGTTTTGTGGGTGTAGCATAGCTGGCTGGTGGTGCTGGTGGAGATGATGAAGACAGAGGAGGCCAAAGAGCTGGCAGGGAAGGCGTTCAAAGGGCTGGCAAAGTCAGCGTGGAGGTCCTGTGGCAGTGAGAGGAGAGAGGGTTTATCCTTCGCATTTCATCTCTTTACACTTGAGAAAAGTTAGCAGTTTTAGGTTTTTTTTCCCCCTCATAACTAAAATGTTACACGTGCTAGGAAAAACAGTGTTTTGTGAAATGTACTGCCTGAAGGCAGGTGCCATTTTGTCTTTCTTTTTATCTGAGTATGTGTTTGCACTGCACAATGTTTACATTGCTGTGTGGAGTTGGTACGTGTACATAACACATCTTAACTCCTTTTTCAACCCTGTTGCGTCCTTTCCCTCTCTCCCCACTTCATCTCTGGATCCCCTTCCTATTTGAGAAAGATCTATCTCCCTACCTCCTGTTTCTTTTATTTTGTTCTTTATTTATGTTTTGGGTTTCTCATGCAAGAGAAACTGTGGGGTATTTAAACTTGAGTGTCGGATCCATTTCACTTAACATTACGGTTTCATGGTGTTCCCATTGTCCTACAAATGACTCATATTTATCCTTCTTTCTGTCAGAGTAGTACTCCATTGGTGTAAATGCCACACTCTCTTTATCCATTCATCTGTTTTTTTTTTTGGTACCGGGGATTGAACTCAGGTCCTTGCGCTTGCAAGGCAGGACACCGAACCGCTGAGCTAAATCCCGGGCCCTTCCATTCATCTGTTGATGGACACGTAGGCTACCTTTTGTCTCTTTCAAAGAGGTGATACAGTTTGTACACAAACCCAGCCCAGCAAGACTCCTTTGCACGCCCCAGTTCTGAGGTTGAAATACTGAGAGCATTTTGTCAGTCACAGGAGTGACAGTTATAGTTCATACTGAGATTATAAGCAAAGACTTTATTTTATAGCAGTTTGAACGAAACTGATTAAAACAATACCAGGGTGTGTTGTTGTGAAGCTAAATGAGAGTTGCTTCTCATTTCGCCTTTCTGGGTTCTCCTTTCTGCGTTACCATATGCATCTTAGCCCAGGACCTTGTCAGGCAAAGCAAGGTGGTTTGCAGAGCCGGGCAGTGCAGTGCGGCACCTGGCACTGCAGCACTACACGTAGTCTGCGTTATTCACTCCAGTTAATCAGTGTGTGTGGTGGGGGCACAGAGCAGCGCATGCTCACAGAGCTCACTCTCCAGGCCAGGCCAGGTGTTTCAGTGTGCAGTGTCAGCAGAAGATGACGGCTGGGGTGTGGGAGCTCTTGCCCAGGACTCTGGGGACTCTTACGAAGTCCTTATTGTCTTGGAGTCTGCTTTGGAGCCAGACTGCTTGGGTTTAAATCCTGACTACAATTTACCAGTTATGTGACCTTGGACAAGGTATATTGATCACCACCTCTCAGCTCAGTTCCTCATCTGTCAAACCCGGCTCACACAGGCAACTACTTTTGAGTGCGAAAGGCGTCAGCATATGTGTGGCCCTTGGGACGGTGTCCGGCATTGAGTAAGAACTTAAATTATTTCACAGTGATTGTCACGTTCTTTTCATCAGCCTGGAAACACTTGCTCAAAGTCTATCTGTATGTAAACCATCTTTTAATAATAATTATTTGTTCATATATTTGTTCACTGCCTTGTTTCATTTTTTTTTTGTCCTTGTGTTTTTTCCTCATTGAGTTTATCAGTACATTTTAAGGATACAGTACAGTTACATTCACCATTGGGATCTTGTACCTTTACATGACAGGTCTTGGTTCTCATTTTTTCCCCATTTCCCTGCCCTCCCTTCACCCCTTCCTCCCTCCCTATTTACAAAAACTTTATTCCCATTTTTACATTTTCTCATGCGTTTTTCTTTTCCCTTATTTCCTTTCCCCTACACTTCCCACTTTCCCTACACCTTTAGCCCTTTTCTTCCTATTTCAAATTATCTTTGTTTTTAAGGGATTATTTTATTTGTATTAGTATGGATTTGTGACATGTAATAATTACATTCATCTTGGGGACCTGGTATTTGTATGTGCTGTACCTTAATCAGTTTTACTGCCCCTCCCTTCCCTGTCCTTCTGTCTCCCCTCAGTCCCAGATCCCCATAGGCTTTTACACACTTTACAGACCACCTTTGACCCACATCCAACTGAATATTTTATCAGGACTGTCCTGTATCACCACTGAATAAGAAATGTTAATATACAATTACTACCTTTACCCTAAGTGATTGCCATAGTTTGCAAAGATTTAAAAAATAGGTAAATAAAAGAATGTAAAATACAATGTAAGTATGATATAAATAATATAAAATAATAATATAAAATAAATGTAAAATATGTAGAATAAATATTCCTTGGAATGCCAATTCTAGCTATTCTACAAAGTATCTTAATTTAAACAGAGTTGGACTTTGCTATATTATGTTCTGTTAATTTTATGAAAATATAAATTTGCCCACAGCAGCTGGAGGTTAACATTCACAGTTTAGTAACAGAGAAGAAAAGAATTAGCACCAGATTTAGAAAAAAAGATGCAGAACACCCTCCTGAAAGCTTATTACTTACAGTTGACTGTTATTTTCCACCTAAAGTGTGGAAGAACCCTCTGGCAGGGCTTAGGAGCAGAGGGGCCTCACCTGATCGTAGTAATAACCAGGCACTCCTAGCTTGCAAGCCTCCAGGTTTAGTGGCTCTTTAAGATTGTTCATAACACAGCACTGCCGAGGCCAGGGATAGTCTGCATCATTGTTCTCCGTCCGGAAGGCGGATGTGTATTTCTGCCAGTCAGATGGACCATTTACACCACAGCAGTGGTCCTGTCAGTGAACATGAGATATAAAATTCTCCTTCATGGTTCTTTCTGGAGCCATCAGTGTAGAAACTCAGATTTTATAAAGAAAGATTTGGAAAGTGCACCATGTCTGATGTTTACTAAAAAAGTTCCCCAAACTAGAGCTGAAGATATTGATAACTTACATTTTAGAGTTTGCAAGAATTTTTTTAATTCGTTGCTTTATTAGCCATTAATGAATTCTGTAGCTTTGGACAGGTTACATAAGTTCTCTAAACCTCATTTTCCTTAACTGTAAAGTGTCGTAAATATAGTTCCTACCTCACAGAGTTTTTGTGATGATCAAGTGAAATAATATGCTTTATGGGTTGGGCACTACATTAGTCAGCTTTCCCATCACTGGAATAAAATCTGGACACTACAACTTAAAGGAGAAGAGGTTTATTTTGGCTCACGTCTTCAGAGGATCCAGTCCATGGGTGGTTGCCTCCAAGGGGGAAGGGCATGGCAAAGGAGAGCTGCACATCCCATGACAGCCAGGAAGTAGAGAGAGGAAGAGGACAGGGGCTGGGATAAGAGCACCCCTGAGGTGCCACAGTGACCTCCTCCAACAGCACTTTCAGATATGAATTCATCAATGAGGATGGCACCCCCATATTGTCTTGCAAAAGCCCCACCTCTGAACCTGAACATGTGACTTGGGGGGGCACATTTAAGATTTAAACTAGAACAGATACAATGCCTGGTTCATAGTAAAACCTTGATAAATGTTAATTATTATTACTACTAGTGGTTTTTTTATTTGTTTTTTTGTTTTGCAGTACTGAGAATTGAACACACCCTTTTTTATTTTGAGACGTGTTCTTGCTAAGTCACTAAGTTACCCAGGCTAGGCTCAAACTTGCCACCTACCTTTCAGCCTTCCAGAGTTCTGGGGTTACAGGCTTGCCTCACCATACCCAGTTTAATACTAATAATCTTGATACAATAACATGAGAGAGTTATACTTGCTATAATATTGCACATGAGCAAATTTAAAAGCAGAGCAAACATTTTAGTGGTGACAAAATTATGAGGATTTCTTGTTTTAATTTTCTATATTTTAAACATTTTCCTAGAGTAATTGTGTGTTGTTTTTATAGAGTGAGAATACAAACTGGAAAAAATGTAAAAACCTAGTGGCACTTAACTGAGCCTATACAGTTGTCACATAACCAAGATCCTTACGCGCTGGGTAGAACCAAAGACAGAAGAGAAAACAACTCATTCTTATCACAAATTCTGCTCCAATGTTTCAAAGGAAGAAGTTAAAACTACAGGTATCTCTCAACTTTTAAATGAATATATCCAAGAAAACTTAATGATAAAAAACATCTTTAAATGATGCCCATTTTGCCATTGGATTGTAAGAAACATCTAATTAGGAGAATCCCTCCCTCCCTCCCTTTATACCCATAGGGCCACATGGGTGAATGTTCAGGAAGACTTAGCTGTCTGATAACATTTGAGGTAAACTTGGGTATATGGCATAATTGCCTCTTAGAAAAAGTTGGGTGAGTAAATCAAGTCACATCCTCTGGGCCTTAGCAGAACGAGCTCAGAAGAGATGTGAAGAGACCCCCAAAAGTTAGGTCAGGCAGTAGTTGCTATTGCTATTTGAGCTCACTGTAGGGGTAGAGAAATCTTTATTCATTTAATATAAGTAATGTTTGAGAGGTATGTTTAATCTAAATTTCTTTTTTTTTTTTTTTTGGTACCATGGATCGAACTCGGGTCCTTGCGCTTGCAGGGCAGGAGTGGAACCACTGAGCTAAATCTCTGGTCCTAATCTAAATTTCTTGACCATGCCATTATTGCTATACTGATAAGCCAATCAATGTTATTGCTTGAAATAAGATAAAGATTTAAGGGTTCCACTGATTCATGTCTGTAACATCTGCCAGTACCCCTCAGTAGATAAGAGGTATAGAAGATCTTACCTATAGCAGATCTTTGAAGGAAATCCCCTTGGAGGCATTGGCTTCCCTCTCAGCCCTCCTCTCCCATTTCCAATTTCATTGCGACATAGTCTCTCCCAAGGACCACAGGCCTTACCTGCAGCATGAGCCTGTCCCAGGTTTTGGTGACGCCATTGTTTTTCCATTTATCATCATTGGTTGGAGGGCTATTATTTTGGTACCTCACCAGCATCTGCTTCAGGAAGAGGTTGGGTGTGAACTACAAGGGGGAGAGGTGACATAGGAGGGAGAGTTAGCACATTAACACCCAGAAAGAAAAAATATTTTTTTCTTGTTGTTAAGGACACTAACATTCTCTTAAAACAAAATTATACTCAGAGGCGCCAACTACCACTTGCCCAAGGCTGCTTTTCAGGTTGGCCAAATTCCCCATGTTGGGAAGCAGCCCCAATCTTCAAAGAAGACACTTCAAGGTGAAAGTATTGTGGGGTGGTGTAGGCTAGGGCACTGATGGTGAACATTTTAGAGCTTTCAGCGTTACAAATGCTGAACTGACAGTGAATCTTGGATGAGGTAAAATATGGACCATCCAGCTGGAAGGCCAGTAGCCATGTAGAATGTCAATGAGAATCAGGGTCACCAGTGTGGTCCTGGAATCAGGCTGTTTGTGTTGAGACTTCTCGCTCCTTCAGTTGCCAGCTGTGAATCTTTGGGAAGGTTACTTTAAATTTCTCTTTCTAATTTCTTCATTTATAAAATGGCAAGTGATACTGCCTACCTCTCAAGCTTAAGAGTATTAAATAGGATTATATGTATTATTAATGTGCGTATTAGCATGCGTGGCACATAGTAAGGGCTCAGTACACATCAGCTATTATATTATTGTGATAATGGTGATTCCTGTCATCATTTTTGCTGTGTGTGTTGTGGGACCATACTCACAAAGTCTCGTTGTGTTGCTGCTGTGATACAAGAGGCCACTTCGAAGCTATATACTATAAACATCAGAATGAAATACTGGGAAAGAAACAAATGAGAAAAAAGTATTACATTTACCCCCAAAGAAAGATCTCCCCAAATAATTGCTATGAGTTTTTTCAGCACATTTATCTAAAGGTAACCATCTAGCCATTCATATAATTACTCTGCAAACTATCTCAGATCAGCTGTTTGGAATGCAGGCTTGGTGTGAGGCAGCTTAATTCTCTGCCTTTCTTCAGAGGACAAATGGCCACTGAACACACAGCTCTCTCATCTGGTATCCTGAATTTCTATTTTAACTGTGAAAACAGACACACGAGAATGGACCAGTGAGTGTGTGTGTGTGTGTGTGTGTGTGTGTGTGTGTGTATGCCTGCCTGCCTGTGCCTGCACATGTGTGAGAATCTCAGTGCATCATTCAAGATGTAGAGCCTTGTAAATCCCCTCTAGTTGAGAGACATTTTCCTTATGATTTGCTGAGTATTTAGGATCACAGAAGTCAGAGAAAGGTGAAGCAGAGCCTGTTTAACACCCGGTATCCCTCACTCAGTCTCATCAGAGAGGAAGAGCCTGCAGCCTTGGGCATGCAGTGACTCACTGGCATCCTTCTCTTACAGCCTCTCTAGTGACATGGGCTCAGGGGGTGAGAGGGACCCATGCAGGGGTGGTATAGATGCATGCCTCTGCACCACGTGTGCCCTTGTTTCCAGCTGGAAAATACGTGAACAGCAGACGGCCTATGAATCTGGGTGGGAACTGTTGGCAAGAACTCTCTCTGCCTCCCTCAGCTTTGTGCATGTGCTACTGGTGCTCATATTATGGACAGCTAAGTTAGGTAGAAATATCGTAGCCCATTAGAGAGGCCTGGGCCCTTGACAGAGTCAGCACAAAAGATGAAAACACATTGCAACCATGGCCAGAGATGCATCTGTTGGAGACCAGGCCTCAAGATAAAGATGAAATGACCAGGCCTGCCTACTTCCCCAAAGGACAAGGTAAGCAGTAATACCTGGCCCAGTGGAGTCTGGATAGACATCAGGCACCTCAGTGGGTGACCAAGACCTCTGGACCCATCATTCCTGGGAAACGTCTTTATTCTTTCCATGCACACTTGTTGCATGACTTGTTGCCCCACCAGATTCCTATTACCTAAGCAACTATACTTGTAACCTTTTTGGTTGATCATAGCTTTAACCCATGTTGTACTCACATGGTTTTTGCTCCATAAAACTTCCCCTGAAAAGTGGGGTCCTCGGCTACCCTTTTGGGACCCCCTCCTACCTCTCAGCTATCCACTCAGTAAACTTTTCCTACTTTTAACCTCCACTGTTCTTAGAATTCACTCTTTGATTTTAGAGAACACAAACTCTGAGTATTAGACCTCTAACAGGATGGGAGTTATAATATTTCCTTTATATCATATTTGGAGGTCCTGATATCATTTCCTCTATACTCATGTCCTTCTTGGGAAGGGGCACTGTGGTCAGAATCAGTGAGGGTGAACACGAGACACTGTCCTCCCTCTTTGGGCATGGGAAGCTCTCTGACAAGACCCGCTTCTGCCCTCCCTACCTGTCCAGAACAAAATTCTAGCTGTAGGTTCAGGAGACCTTTGGAGACCTGTAACATTTTCCTCTACATTAGCTTCCCCCTTGTTCTTGCCAAGAGCTTTGCTGGCTTCTGTTACAGAGCCTCAGAACCATTAGTGGTGCTCTGGAAGCCAGTGAGGCACAGTATTTCTCCTTCAGCTGCCAGGAGATGCCACTGCTCCTTCTCATCCCCTGTCCAGCTCAGTTCTCCAGGCTGTGTCAGGTACACATGAGGTTGGCCGCAAAGCATTGCTGGGATGCAAGGAAGGCTGTCTGTAAGGACATCTGCCTCTCATCTCTCTGTTTCCCCACCCTCTGAAAGTGGGTACATTTGCCCTAGAACTAATTCACATAAGGAAACAGACAACACAAATGTTCTGCATTTCCTGGGTTCAAAGACAATGGTTAGATCAAAGAAAAAGTAAACCAGCAAGCCCTTTAAGTTGCTGGACTTGTTCTGCAAAAGTGGTTCTCAGGTCCTGCACATTTAGGTAGGGGAGTCATTTCAGGGGTAGAGGTGTGTGTGTGTGTGTGTGTGTGTGTGTGTGTGTGTGTGTGTGTCCCATCACAATATGAGAGATGCTGCTTTGGGGGACAGGGCATGAAATAGAGGACTAGGACCAATATAAAGGTTCCTCAGCACTGTTTGCTGCCATGTGTAAAAGCAGAGCCTGCTGTGGCTGATTGTGGTGTGGGGCCGGAGTGAGGCATTGGTGGTATCAAGCTTCCTCGGGGTTCCTGGAAAGCACCATGAATAACAAGTGCAAGTGGAGGCCATTGTACAAAGCCTCTGCCTCAAGCTCAGACATCTCCCAAAGGGCTCATGCTTTCTTGAAAAGTCCCTGTCTACTTTGTATTTTATATCCTAACATATAAATGTCTGTTGAATATTAAAACGATACTTTCCTTTTTCGGGGACAGGGTTTTACCACGTGTTTCAGACTGGCCTGAACTCACTGTGTAGCCCAAGGTGGTTTAGAATTTGTGGAAATCTTCCTCCTGCTTTAACAACTTCCGGAGTGCTAGGACAGGTGTGCACCACTCTTCCTAACTAAATATCTTAAACTACTTATCAGCGAGGAAAAAAAATCCAATAAACAAGTTCTCCCTAGGTCTTTTCTTCGGTCCGTGTAATTGCTGGTCATATTTGGGCACATGCAGACACCAGCAGGAGAAGCACAGATCTGGAAAATTCTCAGCAGTGTCACCTGCTTTCCCTTGAGCTTCACTGTGTGAGAATCTTCTGGCCTTGCAATGGTGAAGGACATCCCTGCCCCCATGTGACGATTTATCTTACTGCAGCAAGTCTCCTCCCTTCTCCCTTCTGAATCTGGATCTCTTTGCTCCCATCTGCCTCCCCAAAGCCTAAAGCAGTGTGCTCAGTAAGGAGGAAGTAACACAATCAAAACTGGTTCAGGGAAGAAACAGAGTTTTAAAGCCTTACCGCTAGGAGAAGTTTCCTGCTGGACTTCAGGATCCCTGCAATGGCTAGGACAGATAGGCAGAAGAGGCAGATGCCCACAAACATGCCGATCCAGGCGGCTCCATAGATGTCATCATTGTCGGTGGCTTCAAGCAGGGGATAGAGACTATGTTGGTCGGAGACAAAGAAGATGCACTCTGCTGTCAGGGCAATGCCGCACATCTGGGAGTAAGTCAAGAGCAGGCCGTGTCAGGCTGGTGGCCAGGAACATGGCATTGGGAAAGGAGATGGTGATAGGTAGATGGGAGAGACAGTCTCCTTCCCCTGCACAGGCTTCCTGCACCCGAAAAGCTCCTCATTCCCAGGAAATCAGCTATTTTTATCCTGTAACCTTCTTCCACATACCTTCTTCTTTGGAGACCCTCTATGTGTCTCTCTGTGTTGCTATGTGGGAAAAGACCTAGGCAATCTCAGACCATCCATAAATCTGGGCGGTTTTCTCATGTGAGGCTCTCTCCCCCTGCCAACCCTACACCTACTGTCTTTTATCCCCTTTCCTGGATTATAACATTTGAAGTAGTTCTGGTCATAGCAATCAGTGAAAGCTGAAAGATTGGTAGCGATTACCTCAATGTCCATGAGTGAAAAATCTTGGTCCTGAAAGAGGATAACTTTTCCAGAGCCACCAGACAGAGCTGGGGCAAAGGCCAGCTGTCTTTGTTCTCAAATAAGAGCTTTGTCCTCATTCCCATACTGACTACAGCCTGGCTCCAAGCTACTCTCACACCCTCACACTGGTCTCTTCACTATGAGAATCTCCTCTTATTCCTTCATCTCTCTTTTAAACGTTTTCCACTTTCTTTTACCTGATCCTTTATCCTTGTCCCTCTACACTCCCATGTTAGCTCTACAAAAAAGAAAAGAAGTAGGGTTGGGGATTTAATTCAGTGGTGCCGGTGCAAGGTCCCAAGTTCAACCTCTGGTTCAGCAATCATTTTGTGTTACAGTATGATTTTTCTCGGTTATTTTTGTCTCACAGTTATTTATATTTAAATCATACTTCAATAGTTTAGGTCAATGTCACCTAAAAATATTTTAGGTGAGGTTTTGCTAGACTGCCCGGCCTCCTTTCTAGAGTACCTAAAGTTATACCTATTTTGCTACAATTGATTCTACTCTCTCTTAAATACACTTAGTACAACTCTATAAACAAGGAAAAGAACCAAGAAATATATGCATGGAATGAACCATTTTTTGCACTCTGTAGTGTTCTTTCAAATTCATAGATGGTAAATAATAAATCTGAAAATGATAACAATAACAAAAAAGAAGATACAGACATCTGCCTCATTGACCTTCGTGACAGAGCCCTCAAATCAAACTAAAGTGAAATCAGAAAGAAGAGTGAAAGTGTGTGTGTGGGGAAAAGGGGGACAGGTATGTTTGGACACTTACCATGGTGGACCTGAATCCTTTTAGATTCTTATATTTTAAAGTTGGAAGGAAAATGTCTAATTTTGTCAACCATGGTCTTCTGACATATTACATAATTATATATGGTTATTTATGTAGTCAAATCCTGGTGAGCATATTACTACCACATCTCTTAAAGTGAAGAAAATGCACAGGGAATTAGTAGTTGTATTGTACCTTTCCTTTAAACCCTCACTTTTGATTAATCCAAAATCATGCTAACCGGAAGAGCAGAACTTTCTGAAAAAATTTTTGCTACTTACACCAACAATCACATGTCCAAAAATCAGCAGGCCTTGAAAGCAACGAACAGTGGAATCATCTTTGGCCATCTTCAGGATTTTCCGCAGGCTGAAGACACAGCTGAGAAGATTACACTTTAATAGGAACTGCTGAAAGATACTGCTATAATTTCTCTAATACGACTAAATCATGCCCTCGTATATTTCCTTTTTGTGTCCCAAAGCACCCAAATTAAGGTCATGACCTTTTAGTAGTGGAGGAAAGAAATTTGATGATTGAGCTTAGCAATCACCATCTTTATAAAGAAGAAAAACAAAATGAAGCCTTTCTTTAAGGAACGGTACACATAGAATGCACACATCTGTGGTGTGAACTGAGGCCCTGCAAAGGTCAACAAGGACAAAGAATAGAGCTGGGGTGCCCGTTGGTGGACACAGCTGCTACTCACAAAAGCCCCAGATTTAGGCCCTGGCCAGTGCAAACCAAAACCTAGAGGCTAAGCTTACAGAGTTAGTGATTGGTTGCCACAAACTGTAGGCTTTGGTTAAAAACCATTATTTTCTGATTTTTAAAAAATAGTTGGCAAAGAACAAATTTGGTAAACTCAGTTTTCTGGGGTCACAGAAGCAGCGGGCAGAGTTGGGGTTACCACCCTTGGCCACGTGCCTCTGGGCTCCACCCACTGCCCCTGCATCTCAATTGGCTCCCAGAATCTATTTACAAGGTGTAGTGCCAGAGGCAACTCTCACCTCCCTGAGGTCCTCTCACCTCCCTAAGGTGGCCCTAAAGTGAACACAAAGGACAAGAGTTTGGGTCAATCATTTTGGCCTTTGCACTTGAAACCTTGTGAGAAAAGATGGCCATACTTCTCAACATTTTATTAATTAGCTAATCCAGTCATGCACTTGTGCTTTAAATCAAAAGCTATGAAATGAAACGATTTGCATTTTGAGCAGTACAGTCACCCAAAAGAGACTGCTATAGTCTAGGGTTTTGTGCTTTAGTAGGGAAGCTAAGGTATGTTCCCAAGTAGTTGTAATACATGTAGTGAGAATCTGAATACCACAGGCACTCCGAGGAGGGAGTTGCGTGTGAACCTTGAAGGATGGGTATGATTTTAACCAGTACAGCAGAGCTGAGGCTGTGTATGAGGGAAGTGAGGTGGGCTCCATTCCAGGGAAAGAGGAAGGAAAAATACTAGTGGAGAGATAGGAGACTGAGGTGCTGGAGAGATAGCAAACTAGCCAGTTTGGTTGGACTCCTAGTCTGAGGAGGAGATGGGTGGGAGGCAAGTCTTTTATTTGATTCAGATCTTGCCAAATTTTAATTCTATTATAGGACTATAATGTATACATGAACCTTCAAAGCGGTTTAAACATCTGTAAATAATCTTTTCTTTCCTGTTGCTATGAAAACTAGAGGACTTTAAAGTGTAATAACTCATGAGTGTTTTGGGCTTAGGATTTGGCGCACAGCGGACATTCCATCAGTATGTGCCAAAGGAACGGAACAGTCCAGCTGTTGTTACACCATCCCTGTGGGGAGTGCCCGCCTAGAAATGCCATTCATTTCTGTCCAGTGATTGGTGCACTTAGTTGAACCTCAGCACCTTGAAGGACTTAATGCCCAAACTCTCCCAAGGGAGAATCTTACTCATGTAGCCAGATCACTGCAAATTCATTACTGGTATGCACAGACATTATCTCTGACCTGTTGGGTTACTCCCTAAACTGGACACACAAATAAATAGCCTGTGCAAGGTAGAAGTTCAGATAACAGAAATATAGAGAGCAAAAGGCAAATACTGTATCCGGAGAGGCCAACTTCAGCCCCATTATTATTATTTTTTTTTCAGCTTTAATTGAGTTTATTGGTACATTTTAGGGATGCAGTACAGCTACATTCATTGTTGGGATCATGTACCTCTACATGACAAATCTTGATTCTCATTTTTCCCCTTATCTCTGCCCTCCCTTCACCCCCTCCTCCCCTCCCCATCTACAAACACTTTATTTTCATCTTTTCATTCTCTCACATTTTTTTCTTTTCCCTTTTTACTCTTCCCCTACCCATCCCACCTTCCCTACACCTTTAGCTCCTTTCTTCCCATTTCTAAATGTCAGTAATCTTATTAGAATCTTATGCATTGTTGCAGATTATTTACACCAGGGAAACTATTCAGTATTTACACATGTGTGACTTATTTATTTCACTTAGGAGTATATCTTCAATATGTATCCATTTTCCTATGAATGAATCTATTTTCTCGTTCTTTATGGTTGAGTAATATTCCATTTTATAGAAAAACCACAACTTCTTTATCCAGTTTCCGACGGATGGGCAAATAGGCTGTTCCCAAGATTTAGCTATTACAAACTGTGCCGCTATAAACATGGGTGCACATACTTCTCTGTGATATGATTCTTTTAGTTCTCTTGGAAAGATACCCAGCAGAGGGATGTCTGGGTCAAATGGAACCTCCAGTCCAAGCTCTTTGAGGTATCTCCATATTGATTTCCATAGTGGTTGCACTAGTCTGCACTCCCACCAACAATGGAGAAGGGTTCCTTTCTCCCCACAACCCCACCAACATTTGTTATTGTGTGATTTCTTGATAGCAGCCATTCTTTGTGGGGTGAGGTGGAATCTCAGTGCTGTTTTCATCTGCATCTCTCGAATGACCAGTGATGTGGAACATTTTTTCAAATATTTTCTTGCTGCTTTTACTTCTTTGTCTGAGAAATGTCTGTTCATTTCAGATGCCCATTTTTGAATCGGGTCTTTATATTTGGGGGGGCTGATTGTTTTGAGTTCTTTATATATCCTTGATAATAGTCCTTTGTCTGAGGAACAGCTGGTAAAATTTTTTTCCCACATTGTAGATTGTCTCTTAGTTCTGCTGATGGTTTCTTTTGAAGTACAGAAACTTTTTAGTAAGATGAGATCCCAGTTGTTGATTCTATCTGCTAGTTCCCGTGCTACTGAGGATTTGTTCATAAAGTCTTTTCCTATACCAATGTCTTCCAGAGTTCTGCCTAACTTACCTTCCAGCAAGTTTAATGTTTCTGTTTTAATATTTAGATCTTTAATCCATTTGGATTTTAATTTAGTGCATGGCGAAAGATAAGGGTCTAATTTTAATCTGTGGCAGGTTGACATCCAGTTTTTCCAACACCATTTATTAAAGAGGCTATCTTTCCTCCACTGAGGATGGTCAGCTCCTTTGTCAAAGATGAGGTAGCTGAGTACATCTGCATTTGTTTTTGTGTCTTCCAGTCTGTTCCACTGATCCTCAGGCCTGTTTCTTTGCCAGTACCATGCTGTTTTTATCACAGTGTCAGCCCCATTATTGATGGGTGTTGTGCTGACAGAACTCCCATTTGTCACGTAGCAGACTATTTGTAGTGACTTAGTTGAGCTAAAAGGGCAGAAAGACAGTTTCTTCTTTTCAAGGTATTTAGAGTGGGATTATAGCAACGTGGATTTAGAGCAAAAGTAACTATACAGTAGAATAAAGGGGGAAAGTAAGATGAGTATGAAAAAAGGAAAAGGTCAGGCAAACCATCAATGAGGGGATTTTATGAGTCCAGAAAGGAGCTGAAGGATTCCCTGGAAAGAGGCCTAGGTCCTGTGACGCAGTTATGTCCCACAAAATACATACTCTCCCAAAGATGACGCTGCCCCACAGAATTTCAAAAAGAGGGAAAGGACGAATGAAAACTCCTTGGGAGAATCAGAATTAGGGAGGAAACATGTCGACAAGAACAGGAGAAAAGAAGCGAGGAGGCAGACAGGGGTCTGGTTTGAGTGAGAAGAAGGCGAAAGCAAGATAATCAGAGAGGTGGCGGGAAAAGCCCGGAGGGAGCCAGCTGAGCGTTGGCCTGTGGGAAGCAGGAGCGCTGACGGGCGAGACGTGCTGAACATGTTGGCCACTGAATATGCTTTTTTCTTTTCACTGTGCTTTTCCCTCTCTCCCCTTAGACCTGTGACGTCTGGGGCACACAGTAATTTAGAAAGCCACAGTTGCCTTCCTGAGTAACAAAGGAGTGAGGAGCGCTGCCTTTTAATGTTTGTGTACATTGCTCTCAGCTCTGCAGTACGGTGCAGCAAGGCCCTTTACGTTCACCTTCTCAGCAGACAAGCGAGACCGGCATTTGTAGCAAAATCTATATTTGTTTCTTGTTACTTCTATTGCCAAGAACTTAGTGGCTTAAAAAATATTAGCTTACAGATCTGGAGGGCAGCAGTCTAAAGTGAGTTTCTCTGGGCTCTCACAGGGCAGGCGGAGCTGCGTTCCTTCTGAAGGGTCTAGGGGAAGACTCTCTTCACTTCCAATTCACAGATGAAGAAAATGAGGTTGGACAGATTAGACTGTCCCAGGCCAAACTGCCAGAAGACACAGAAGCTCAGCTTCTGCCTGGCTCCAGGTGATTTACTGCAGTATTGCTGATCCTTTAAGTAGAAAAAGAAACATTGGCTTGCTGTTTTTTTGTTTTTGTTTTTGTAGCCCTGGAAATAGAGAACAGATAAATATATTTTCCCTGCTTAGAAGACTCTGTCTTAGCAAAGGTCAGAGATACCAGGCCTTTCTTTACTCACTTCTCCAGGTTCTTGTCTCCTGGGCCTGTTGACAGCACACCAAATCCAGTGTTGCAGCCACATTATTCCAGGAAACCTGTCTCAGTGCATCCTAAACCTGTAGCTTTCCCTCCTGCTCCTGGGGCCAGAGTTCTTGAAAGGAAAAGGTGCCGTGTGAAGTCACTGGCAAGGTCTGCGTTTCATAGCTCCTTCTCGGCCACCTGTGTTTTAGACTAGGTTGATTTTTGGTGAAACCCCCAAAGAGCAACAGAAGTCAACAGGGAGCCAGATGTAAGCGTCCGAAAGCTCACAGTGTAATCTAGTGGCTGTGGTCTAACTGTGGAGCACCGTGGACTTGGCATCAGAATGCCAGTGCTCACGTCCTAGTCTTGTCCTGTCTTTACTGTGTTACTCTGGGCAGTGGCTGTGGGTGTGAGGAGTTGTGCTGCTATAAACACGAGTCATTTGTAGGAAAATCGATGCACTTTGACACCATAGCATCAAGGAAAATCAATCAAACACAAGCTTACGTATCACATAATTTCTCTTAGAAGAGAAGCCCAAAGTATAAGTAATTTAAAGAGTACAATAAAGGATGGAAAACAGGAATCAGGGAGATAGAGCTTTTACAAATAGGAAGGAGATCTAGAGATGGAAGGAGCGGGAGGGCAGAGGAGGGACATGCACCAACTCCCCAAGACGAACGTATTCGCTATGTACTGCAAATATTTACTAGTGAAAAATTTCATTTTAAAAGTGAGTCCACTTCCTCATTTACAAAGTGGGTAGAACGCAACCTGTTTGATGGGATTATTATAACCACCAAGTGGGATACAGAATACAGAAGTGGTTGGCAAACAGTAAGATTGTTTACAAACATGGAAAGTCACTAATCAGAGCCAAGGGATATGCAGAAAGTGCAGGATATTGGGTTAGGGTTCTACTTTCTGCACCAGAGATCCCTGGGGCACAGGACAGAGGTACTCATGGTGACTGGTCTCACAGCCAGGCCTTCTTTCCATCCACTTTCTCTCTATTCTCTGCCCAGAGGCTGCTCTGCAGGAGGGGACCTGGAGGCCTTACACAGAGTAATCCATTTGTACTTATTTTCCATAGTTGAATTCATTCAGGGGGGAAAAATGTTTTCTGGGGGGCGGGGGCGGGACAAAGTACTTCCCAGTTGGGCCAGGGTGTGGCCAGAGGCAGGTACCAAGCCGCACGTCCCTGTGGGGGAGCCTCTGTGCATTCCAGACCGCATTCTTGAACAGCTAGCTCCTGCCTTGGGAGTCATCTCTCTGGCTTTGGTCTCTGCTCTAGACTTTGGGGGATGAAGAGATGACATCTGAGGTGTTCTTTTGTGCTGAGTTTGTGTTTCTTCTGCCACAGAAATGACTCAGGGAGAACTCTGTTCTGTTCCTCTTTTGCACTGTTTTTTCCTTGGTATCAATCCATGAAGGTCATTTTATTGCAAGAGGCTCTAAGACAGATGGCACTAGGAGCCTGTTATATTTGTTTTTCTAGTTTCAAAGTAGCCCAGTGCCTGACTCATTGAAAGCACTTAGTTATTTTGTTAAGTAAAAAGATAAAGTGAACAAATAAATATTTATTTGAATGAATGAATGAACAGATGAATAAATGAGTGAAAATACAAAGTAGTGATTTGCCTAGAGCTTACTGTAGAACAGGTTAGAGAGTGTGGTGAACAGAAAGAACACACACTTTGGACACAACTAAGTTTGAATCTTAGCTTTTCCACCAGGTGGTTTTGTGACCACAGGAAGTTATTAGATTTTGTTGTTTCATCTGTAGATGAGAGTAGTAATGCCTAGCTTCAGGTGGAACTATGAAAATAAAATTGGATATATGTGAAGTTTCAATATCAATTTTCTTTATTTTTGCCTCAGTTTCTTCTTCTTTTTTGTTTTGGCTGTATTTTGTAGTGCAATCTGGCCTCGAACTCCTGCCTTAGCCTCTTGTCTTAGGGTTAAGGTTAAGGTTAGGGTTAGACAATCCTCCTGACTCACCATCTCGAGTGCTTAGGTTATGGATGTACATGATTGTACCTATCTTATTTTTGCCTCAGTTTCTTGAAGCAGACAGACAAAAACTAATTAACGATGAAGTCATCTAAAGCAGTGGTTTGTTTTCTTTTTAAACATAGAGCCATATTTTGAAAGGAAATGTGATTTCCAAATGGAGCTCTGATATTAAAAGTAGATCAAAACAGTGCTTCTTTGGCTGGAACAAAAGTGGGGACCTGGGCTAATGGAGTGGGGACCTTACTACGTCACTGATTTGTAGATGCAGTGCCACAGAGCATTTAGAAGCTAGTATTCTAGAACTAGTGGGACAAAAGGTAGGCAAGTTACTGAGCTTGGAAGGCAGTTACTCAAGGAATCAGTGGATACTCAGAGTAAAGTTGGAAAGTCTTGGTTACAAGGTTACAGTTGACATTATATAGTCTCTTTTGTCAAAGGGACTTCAATTTAGTGGAAGATGCCTAGGAAATGATCCTGACAAACAGACAAATGAGATTTCTTCCCTTGTCCACAAGCTGGAAGGGCTGTACCAAGCCGTAGGTACCATTCTTGGTACATAAGAGGAGAGGTGGCATGATTTCTATGAAGGCTCATAAATGCCTGTGCGGAAGGGTAGACTAATGAACTTTTTAGGATAAAAAGAAAAGAAAGAAAGACCAACTCCCACAGTGGCAGTATTTTTTTTTAAAGAAGATGTTATGAATCGGTAGAGCACAGGTCAGGAGAACAAATAAAAGGCGGGTACAGTTGGGTGCTCCTCTGGAAGCAGATGGAATGTACCCTACCGTTCTCTAGGGCCTGCCTATGGGCTGTCTGAGAAGGGGGTACAGGGGTGCCTCGGTTCATAAGCAATGCTTTTCTAGATTCAGGTCTCAAACCGAATTGGATGAGAACCAAATCAATTTAATGGTGAGGTTCATTGCTGATCTCACGGGGAAATTTGTATCTGTAGCAAACCCAAAAATACCTTCCCAAGTTAGATTTGTTTAAATTGATATTTTTATGTTTTTGGTACTGGGAATTGAACTCAGGACCTCACCCTGGCCAGGCAGGTGCTGTGCAACTGAGCTACATCCCCAGCCCTGGTTTATAATTTTAATAAAAGCAAAACTGACCATTTTTTGATGTCTCCCGAGACCATTTTATTGCTTCCTCTAATTCCCACAGCCAGCAACTAACTTCTGGCTCAAACAAATCCAAAAATTTGTGTTTCTATTCCTCGTAGAGTTTTGCAAATGAACTTTTTAAAGTAGAGCTTCTCAAACAACCCTATAGAGCACAGAAGTTCAGTCCACAGGGCAATATGTTTGCAGGGCAAAACTGAATAATTCCAGTCATTTCCTAATTTAAAGAGAAACTTCTGATTACAATTTGTGATTTTTAGTGTTTTTCTCTCATAGTTTTTTTCTTAAAATTTGAGTGCTGTGTATTTTAGAATCACTTATAGTATAAATGTTTAGTATAAATATATAATGATCTATTTCATTATTTTAAGTTTAGCATATCAATACGTTGTAGTGTTCCATAAATGAGACTTTTTTCTTTTGAGACAGGGTTTCACTGGTCTTGAGCTCATGATGTAGCTAGCCCAAGCTGGCCTCAGACTCATAGGGATCTTCTTGCCTCAGCCTCCTGAATGTTGGGATTACAGATGTGTGACACCACACCTGGCAGACAAGCCTTTCAATTGCCAGTCATTTAATCAATTTGGAGCTCTACTGTCCTGAAGACAACTCTGATTTTATATTACTCCTCTGCTTAAAAACCTCCAAGGGCTCCCTATGGCCTACATTCAAAGAAGAATTCTAAATAGCCCCTCTCACCGCCAGCTCAGCCCTGGCTCCCCCTCACTCCCTATTGCTGCCCACCCACTCACTGTTGCTGACCAGTCTCTTCATAGCCAGATCTGCTCCTGTTATAATCTTTTGTGTTTGGATTTGAGAGAAAGTCATGGCTTTTTAGCTCTTGGAGACACATCAGTGACTCCCTTTTCTTGTTTCTACAGGATTTGGTCAGACCCAAGCATTTCATTCTTCTAGAATGAAAGAGAAGTTGGACAACCTGAGGGATGACAGTGCAAATGCCAAAGGTGTGTTTGAGACAGGAAGTACCTGGCATTTCTGAGCGGTTGACCAGCCCCACTTGCTGCGCTCAGGTTGACCCTCCCTTGGGGATCCCTTCTTCTACCACTGTCTGTCAAGCTCTGCTGGCTTCTGAAGCTCAACTCAAAAATTTCTTCTTTATCCAACTGTCTTTGTCCAGAATTGTCCTTTCTTTCCTATCCTCTTCTCCCCTCATCTTGGGCAAATATTTCTCCAGGGGAGTTAGACCATGTCCTATTTGGAGGCTATGCATGTATGGGTTTTCTGTATGATTAACCTCACCCAGTACTTTATTACCTTTCTTCTTTACGCAAATTTGTTTAAATATATTCAAAATAAAGGAACAGATTTCTATACATTTAAAAACCAACATGACAAAGAATTGTATTTTTAGCATTTTAATAGTGAAGAATTGTATTTAAAAAGCAAAATGAAAAACTTTTAAGATTGAGTGACATACCCAGAATTCAGTGACTGTATTCTGGCAGTTTCTATCTTACCAGGAAGGTGTATAATTAGGGGGGGATTATCCTGCAGTCATTACTAGCCATGAATGAGAGAACATCAGCTCTGGCTATAGAGCAGAGCTCTAGAGTCAGCCCCTTCTTCAACTCACTGTCTACGTCTGTGGGTAGAGACTGACTCTTGGTGATGCGATGGGTCTCCTTCCAGCCTTTCTTTTTGCCCACAGTAGTAGAAGCTGTTTCAAATGTGTGGTGTTCTGAAAGTGTCTTTTATT